ATGAAGATCAGTGACTTAACAGTAATTATCTGATGCACATAGATGTTCGTGTCGATGAAGGCGACGCCAATGAGATCGCCATCGCGCAGCTGCCAGATGTAGATCTTCTGGCCGAGGCCTGTGACCAGGAAGCCCACCACATCGGAGATGGCCGACACGGGGCCCTTCTGCTCCTTCTTGAACACCTCCTTGAGCTTGAACTTGGTCATCGGCTTGCCGGGCTCGGGCACCACCTCAATGATGTCATAAATGTGGATATTGCCGCGACTGGTGATGTCTTCGCTGTAGTTGAAATTGGTGCCAATGCAGAGATATTCCTTCAAGCCCGATCGTGTGCCCTCATACGAGAGCTTCACTAGCTTGAAGGCCGTCACATGTTCCCATGGCTCAAACTGTATCGAAGCATCCGGGACAATCTCCCACGTTTCGGGACTGATCAAGACCATTTCGAATAGCGAGCCAATGGGGTAAATGAAGCGTTCGCCTCGACTCTCCTCGGAGAGTTCCTTGTCCTCGCCATTGAAGCGATAATATTTGGTCATCGGCTCCTCCTTCTGTGTGATCAGGCAATAAACTCGATTCTCCCGATGATAAACCAATTGACGAGGCGTGCAGCGCAACGGAACCTTTCGCACCGGCCAGGCAGCATCGTAGCTCAAATAGGTCGGCAGCACTGAGATCTTCAGCTCATAGGTGGTATCGAAATAGAGAAAGCCATGCGGAATATTCACATTATTAAATGCGGCAAAGCTGCGAACTTCCGCATTGCCTAGCAGTCGATGAATGCGCAGCTCGCCTCGGGCAGTCAGGAAGATGAAACAGGGATTCACGCCGCACACCATAATCCCGGCCAGGCCGCCCACGTTGTTAAAGTAGCGTAGCTTCTGCACATATTTCGGTTGCATATTGTACGACTCGGCCTCGTCCGTCTCCTCCTCATTGATCAGTTCAATGTGCGTGGGCTGTTGATCGAGTAGATGCAGCTGCTCCAGCTTACGGAAACGTATCTTCAGATGTCCCTTGGCATAGCGAAAGACCTGATAGATGAGCAGCTCCAGTCGGGTGCGCACCAGCAACAGTGGTCTGTCCCCATGCTGACCCAATCCCACGAGGCTGAGCTCGAGGGGCAGCGGCGAGTTCGCATGCTGTGGCATACACGCATGCAAGATGCCCGCTTTGGAGTTCTCTTGCGTCAATGAAATCGGAACGAATTCCATCGCATCAGTGAGCACTAGTGCGCCATTGCCCACATCGTTGACCAAATAGACAAGCTTCATGTCCGGCATCGAATAGATCTCCAGCGTGCCGCTTTGTCGGGCCACAACCAGCCAATAGCTGGGCTTCGCCTGCACCAGTTGGCGTCGCCACCAATCCGTGTTCTTCTGCTTCGACTGCTTGGCCAGATCGGCCATGCTGTTCAGTTTGAAGGCATTGCCCGCATCGCCGTATAGCAAGTCCTCCTCGTCCTCTACTTTCATATGCGGCTCGGCCTTCATATAACCGCCAAAGCTATTGGCAAATCCCGCTCCCGTGCTCCCTGTCAAATTGAGCACATCGTCCGCTTTGCATGTGAATAGTCCGGATAGATCCTTGTACGCCGCTATCGCCACCACAGCTGGCGCACTGCTGATCGTGTGCTTGTTAATGGCCAAGCGAGGAGTGCCTCGCGTCTCGCGCAGCGCCAGCGTAATCACCTGACCGTTGAGCACACGCAGACAGACATAGGGATCGGCAATGGACACCTGCACCACGGGAGAGCCCACATCGATGGGCACGTTCTGGATGAGTCGGGTGCCCTGCAGCAGTCGCACATGGCGGGTCGTCACCTGAGTTGAAACGGAATGTGAGATTATTAAAGGATAGAGAGAGCAAAGATGATATGTTCTTACCTGCACTATAAACCGCTGCTGGCCGAGATTGCCGACATATATGGTCGGCTGGTTGACGGTGAAGCCCGTGTTCTCGATCTCATTGATCTCCTGTCCCGTTTGCAGCACGAGCGTCGAGGATCGCTGTGAGAGTAGCATAAAATCGTGTTGCTCCTGGCGAGCCGTTGATGGCTTTCGCGTTGCATCATCAAAGACTGTCCACACATCCAGACAGCCATCCAATTCGAAGCTGGTGATGATCTGTGGATTGATGCAGTTCACAAAAACAGAAAGGGCACCATTTTTGCTGTGTCCTGTGGCGGCGACAAGCTCAATCTTCAGGTCGGTCAAGGACTCCGCATGTGGACGCAATGTTGTGCCATCCTCTTCGAACTCCACACGCTCGCCGGCGCACATGTAATTGATGGGAGCCACATTGATCAGACTGTCGCAGACCTCGAAGATGAATTTACGTAGCTGCAGCACCGAAGCTTTGGCACCCGACCCATATACCTCCAGTTCTTCATCCTCAATGCGACGTGACTTGGCTTGCGATGGCGCCTCATGCTGTTCCACATCATAGACCTGGTCCTCATCCATTTGGGGAGGCGACTGATCAATCGCCTGTTGTTGCTGTTCCCCTGCACCTGTAGCTGCCGCAGTTGCTGCTGACTCCACGTCATCCAGGGTAATCACTGTGCTCTGATCCTCCTCGGTGAAGTGCAACAGCAGCGAGTTGCCCAGCCGAGAGCCGAGAAAAATGTATTCCGTGTGACAGACGCATATGCAGCTGGTGAGCACGCTGGCTGCCGCTTTGTGGAAGTGGAAATTTCGCACCGTTCGCATGGAGTCGACACAAAGGGTCAACACATACAGATCTCCCGTGCGCAGCGATATAACCAACTTGTCCACATCAATGAAAGCGAAATTCGCACAGTCCAAGCTCAGCCGCACATTATCCTGCGGCTTGAGGGGAAAGCTGGTGCTGTTGTCCGCTGAGCTATTCAAGCTAACGCCATATGGCGGCACGCTCTGGTTCAGATAGATAACCGCATTCACAGTCATAACCAAACATCCACCGATGGGCTTTTGTATGGGGAAGACATGCAGGCAATCGTACGGCAGACTATTTACCGTCCAGATAATGGGATGCACGCGTTGCTGTATGTTCAAGGAGATGGCCACCAGAACACAGGTGTCGGAACGCACCTTAATGCGGCCCGCACAAGTTCTCACCGGTTCGTAGAGTATAAGCAGAGTCGGTTCATAATATCCATGCAGAAATTGTATGTCCAGCACATTGTCCAGCTTCTCGTCGAGATCAGCTAGAGCTATCAAATAGGAAGCCATAATGGGCGTTCGTGATACCAATGCTGTGGGCGCTTTCTTAATGGGCTTAACATCTGCTAGCTCGATCTCATCGAGACTGTTGTCCTTCCGAAAGGGCAGCACCACCAAACGCTTACCATAGACAAGCATTATAGCACACCTCGCATCTGGATCCACTCGCACCACAGGCACATGATAGCGTCCCGTCCAGCCGCCTCGAATGTCATCTTCCTCGAAATAGTGCAGCGAGAGTGTTTTTAATGTTTGCGTGTCTGCATCCAGCTGTAGCACCGAAAGCTTTGCATCCTTAAAGCTCACAAGCAAAGCATCTCGCATTCCACCAGCCAATGAGACGCTTTGCAGCGACATTACATTGCCATAGAGGGAATAGCTGGCTAGACATTCGAGACGCATTTTAGGCGCCAACCGCATTTCGCTTGGATTCAGTTTCTGCCGCTGCGTCGCATCCACGTTGGGTGCAATACGGTAAACCTTGAGCACATTGGCGCCGGCGACGACCAGATTCTCCTCCACATTGTTGAAGAAGCGGCACGAGATGGCGAATTCCACTGATGTGGCCGCGTGTGTCTGTTTGCACATAGAAAACATATTGGCGGGTTTATGAGTGATAATTTAAATAAAACAACTAATTAAAACATTTCCCACTCAGCGATAAAATTAAAATATCTGCCGGCGTTGTTTACATCTGTTTGTCCATCTGCAAAACTATCGATAGTTGCTCCCTTATGGATGGTAAGATCTCGATAGGTTAAACGGGTAGAAATGACAAAAACGTTACTTACAGGAATGTGAGAAAAATGTCATTTTAATTATTTGTACTGTTTATCTATCTAACAACCAACGCATTTGCAGACTATCTCTATCCATTACTGCAATATAAAAAAGTAAATATTCAATTGTGTTAATAAAATCCGAGTTACCCATATTGTGTCTATCTCGACATTATATGAATATCGATAGCTTTGGAAAACAACAAGTATGGTCACTTTAGAGATGTAAGCAATATCGATAGATAGCAATTAGCAGCTCTAGTTCTAGTGTAGTGCAGTTTTTAACATCCCTATTGCTCTCAAACTGGGAGCCCAATAACTTTAATTTAACCATCAAATAAATAGGCTTTGAATATTAGAATGTGAAACGACAAATGTGTGTTATATATGTTTAGTCTTTAGTGTACAATATAACAACAATTTCATTCAATTAACTGAAAGCTATTTCCTTTTTTTTTGCTGCGTAGCTTCTCTCCGTGTGCGTAACAAAGACAGCGGTTGGCGTTTAGCCAAGGCATATGTAAACGCTTGCGTAAGAAAGAGTCGACGCCATAGAGCACAAGAAGCAGAAAAAGAATCCAAAATCTTGTAGCTCTCTGCTTCTGCTTTTGTTTGTGTCTTTGCAACAACCATTCAATATTTTATTTGTTTTTTAACTCGGTGCACAAGAACTAATATTAATAAAGTTGAAAGTGTGGGTGCAATTCGAACTACTGCTGGATAAAACGTAATTAACGAAAGCCAAAACAAACCACGCAAAAAGTTTTTATATGTGCGTGCATGCGTGTGTGCGCATTATAATTATATGTGTGTGAGTGTGTACGTGCATGTGTAGCATACATCTGTATTATTCCTGCAGGGGCAAAAGCAACAAACCAACCAACTTTGCTTTGCTCTCTTTTTAATGTTGTTGTGTTTGTTATTGTAGGCAACAAATTCACGGCGGACACACACACACACACACACATTTATATTAAAAAAAATATATATATGTATGTATGTGTTTAAAAAGGAAAAGGCAAAGAGCAGCAAATGAAAATTAGCGTGTATAATAAATGTGTGTGTGAAAAGTGACTGGGCGTAAGGGTTTTTATAGTAAAGGTAAAACAAAACACGGACCAAAATAATTGTTGTAAAACTGTTGTTGTTTTTTGAGGAGGCAAAATTTAATTGCCACCCACCCCGGCGCCTATTGAAATGGCTAAGACTGCTGCTGGCCAGGTGAGTTGGGTTATTAATTGAAAATGTACATTTTTGTAATATATATTTTTTTTTTCTAGTATGTTCGTAAAAAGCACTTAAACTGCCGCCTATTATGGACCCAATAACAACAATAACATTGATACGAGACATTGAAACCTTGCTGAGTCGAATTGTAAATAGTTAAAGAAATATATATATGAATATGAAAACGATAACGCCGGATACATTGACATCCGCATCAGCCGCGTCGCAACATCATCAGCAGCAGCAGCCGCAGCCTCAACATCAGCAGCAGCTGCAGCTGCAGCAACAACATAAACAACATTTGCCCGCCATCATTCCGCAACAACACATAACACCTGTGATTATGGAAGCAACAGCGCATGTGAATCTCGTGGATGATGACGACGAAAAGGATCCACTGGCATTGGAGCAGACAACAGCAACCGAAGCGCCACAGCAGCAGCAACAGACGCTCAACTCAACATTGGCGAACAAGCACACACATAGTCTGAGGTTAGCAGCGTGTTTATCTCTTATCCATATGCATGAATATATGAATCTCTTCCATTTTCTGTCAACAGGCGCCACCTGCCACGCATCATTGTGAAACCTATACCACCTGAGAAGAAGCCAACGCCACCCAGTGAGGATGCATTGCTTAATGCTGGACTCCAGCCAGCGCCAGCGTTGTTTGTACCACCAAGCATAGCCTCGACAACGGCAACGGTTACAGCAACAGCATCCACAGCTGCTGCTGGCACTGTTGCAGCACCTGCGCCCGTGCGTGGCATCAGCAGTCGTCGCATACAACAACAGCAACAGGCCAAAGCAGCTGCAGCAGCAGCAGCGGCGGCGGCGGCAGCAGCAACAGCAGCAGCAGCAGCTGCAGCAGCTAATGCAAATGCTGCTGCATCACCGGGCAGCGGTAAAGCCGCCACACAAACATCTACAATGCGTGAGGTGTTGGCTTCGATACCGGGCTTTAGTGTGAAGCCGCGTCGTCGCAGTAACAAAAAACTCACGACAGCCGCGCAAATCGAACAGACAAAGGATGGAAAAATCGATTTGGAAACACCAGATTCCATATTGGCATCGACGAATCTGCGCGCGCTGCTTAATAAGCAAACGTTCTCATTGCTGCCACCGCTGTATCAACATAATCTCATACAGTTGCTGCCGAGCGTGGATCGTGAGGCCAGTGAGATTGTGCAACAGCAACAACAAAAGCAGCAGCAGCAACAATCATCGCAGTCAGAGCAACCTAGCACCAGCGGCAACACTACAGAAGCAATTCGATTGAGCGCCTCCTGCCTGAATAATGAGTTCTTTGCGCGCGCCTGTTTGGAGTGGCGAGAACGGCTCAGTGAAGGCGAATTCACACCTGAGAATCAAATGAAGCTGAAAACGGAAGCGGAACGCGAAAAGAATAAGTTAGATCCATGGAAGGTCAAGCATTTCGAGCCCTATTGGGGTGAGAAGATTGCGAAACGTGCGCCGAATCTAAACCCGCCTAGTAGCAAAATAAAGATAGAGCCGATTAGACAACAGCAACAACAGCAGCAACAGCAACAACAGCAACAACAACAACCACCAGCTGCAGCACCAGCACCGGCACCACCACCAATAACAACATCAACAACACAGCAGCAGCAACTACAACAAGCAACATGTGATAATGAGACTGAACTGAAATTTAATACGGTAAATTAGAATGCGAATTAGATAGTTTCTAACTTTATAATTAACTTATTGCCCTAATATATTACAGAGCACAAAGTGCGAATCGACAACCACAACTACCGAAGCAACAACAACTGACGGTGTCGCACCATCAGCAACAGAAGCAACAGCAGCAACAACAACAACAGCTGCTGCAACAGAAACAGCAATCAGTAGCAGCAATGCTTTAACGGAGCAACAGCGACGCCTGTTAAAGCGATCGTCAAGCAGCCCCTCGCGACGCAAACGCAGCAGTTCGATCAATATGGCTGACGAGCAGGAAGAGCTGCCCAGCACGTCAAAAGAGAGCAAGCAAATGAAACGTGAACTAGCTGATATTGTTCCTAATAATGCCATGGCGAATGTGACAGATGTTGTTGATCATGCAGTAGTAGCGGCGACAACAACAACAACACCTGCAATAACTAACAATAGCCAGCAGCCACTTATCAACAGTACCTGTGATAAAATTGAGACACCTGATGCACAGACAACAATAGTAGCAATATCAACAACGACAGTGACAGCGACACCAGCAACCTCAACAATCACAAACGCAATACCAACAGCTGCAGCAGCAGCAACAGCAGCAGTAGTAGCAACATCAACTATAGCAGACCCAATCAACAATTTTGCGGGCTATTTGCAAAATGTAGAGATGGCAGAAGGTTCGTACACTATAATTAACACAAAAGTTTTGTATATTTAATTGACAATTTTCGTTATTATTTAGATACCAAAGCAACAGATAATATTGCGACAGAAGCAACCGCAACTGCCCCAACAACGACAAACAGCCATGATTTTGTATTTGCCGATACGATTGATCATGGTAAGCTTCTTTTGACTATTTGAAATGCTAACTGAAAGATAATTAATATTTAATTAATTAAATGGTTTTGGTTATTTGTATATTGTGTTGCTTGTTTTTATAGTAGTTAAGTGAATATATATATTTTGTTTATGTATTTCTTTGGATTTTGTATTTTTTTATTGTATGTTACTCGAATTGTTAACTAAGAATCATTTGGTTGAATATTCTTAATATATATTTCATATTATATACTCTTTCTTCATTTGTTTATAATAATTTGTTACTGAAATTCAAAATTGTTCTTTAAACATAAATAAATGTTTATACTTTTGCATTTATGAACTATTTGGTATATAATTATTTCAAAATTGCAATTAATTTTGTATATCACTATTTATAATGGACATTTATTTTATAACAATTTAATATATTTCATATTACTTATCAATTATTATGAAAACTTACCTAATGCCTTTCCATCTCTTGCTTCAATGGTCGTACTCCATGCAGCCTACTTCCATGATCACCAAGCAGCCATCAGCCACGCCTACTACTCATCATCATCATCGCCCAACTGTAATACATTTATATATATTTTTAGTTGTTATCAATGCTTTAATTCATTCTGTTTTGTTTTCCCTAGCGACAGCAACAATCATCAAGCTGAACGATCATTGTGATAAGCAGCTGGAGGACTCGGGAATGACTCTAGCTATGTCCATGCCCTTGGCTAGCAGCTCGACAGGCACATCACTGGCCAATACAACGCCTACCAGTTCGCTGGCATCCAGTAGTTGCACATCCTCTTCGTTATCATCATCGCTCTCCTCGTCCTGCTCCAGCAGCAATTCTTCCTCAACGGCTCCGACCACGACGACAGCGGCGGGAGTAGGTGCTGCAGCTGCGCCTCTATCACTGGGCACACCGGCGGAAACAACGTTGGCCAACATGCAGGCCATGCTCAGCACGGTGGCCACGCTGCAGCAACAACAGCAGCAGCAGGAGCAACAGCAGCATCAACAGGTGGAATTGCCAGTGGAGTTAAACTCAAGCGAGATGTTTCAAAATGTGCAGCACGATTGGAATTTTGGTGGCATCAAATTGCTGGCAGCAGCACCGACGCAAGGATCAGATAATTCTGTGGAGCGGCTGCACCATCATCAGGTCGAGCAGCATCTGAATCATGAGGATATCCAACTGATGGATGTGGTGCATGAGCCCGAGGAGGAGGAGGAAGAGGTGATCGACGATATGGTCGAGTGTCACAATCTACTGGACAATGATGAAGATGAAGATGAAGGAGAAGAAATTGTAGACGAAGACGATGAGGATGTGGTGGAGTGCATCGAAGCGGAGCAACCGGATCAGGATGATTTAATGAACGAAATGGTGGAACACGTTATGGATGTCAGCGGTGGCGATGCTGTGCAAGATATTGTGGACAAGCTGCAGCAACAGCAACAACAACAGCAGCAACAACAGCAGCTGCAGGCACAGTTGCAGGATGTTGTGCAATTGACGCAGCATTCCTTTATGCCGCAGGGCCACAGCAGCGACTTTGCGAATGAGGTAAGTCATCGACACATCATCAAGTCATCAAATACCAGTTTAATTCTAAATCCATTCACAGATCTCCCACGAACTGCTTTGTGATGCGGTGCCCATGTCTGCTGCCGAAATGGAAGTCTCCAGCACAGTCATCACGAACAGCAGCAACAGCAATGACAGCAGCAACAACTTGAGCCTATGCAGCAGCAGTAGCAGCAGTATTGCCATCAATCAGTTGACCCCACAGGCAGCTGCAGCTGCGACTGCTGCTCCTGCGCCGCAACAACAGCAACGTCAAATTTTGGTAGACTCGAATGGGCAAATCATTGGCAACTTCTTGCTGCAGCAGCAACAGCAGCAGCAACAGCAGCAACAACAGCAGCAACAACAGCAGCAACAGCGTCAGCAGCAGCAGTTGCAACAACAGCAGCAGCAATTGCTGCAACAGTTTACATTACAAGCAGCCGCCCAGCAGCAGCAACAACAACAGCAGCAGGCGACCAGCAGCAATTCGATACATAAAGCGCTGCCTGTGACCTTACGCAAACCTTTCGAGATCAATACCAATGGAGCACAGCAATTCTTAACACCAAATTTACTGCAGCAACAGCAGCTAGAACAGAAGCAACAACAACTCCAACAATTTGCACTGCAGGCGCAGTTGCATCAGCGTCAACTGCTGGCCCAGGCAGCCAACAACAATCTGCTGCAACAACAACAGCAGCAGCAACTGCAGCAGCAGCAAACCTATCAACAACAACAGCAAGCTGTGGTGCCACCGAAGTTTATAGCCAAGCCGCTGAACATCATATCCATGACACGACCCGCCAATGCGTCGCCCAATGCAGCAGCCACAGCATCAGTGCCCACATCAGCCACAAATAATGCCCAAATTCCGTCCAGCTATGCAAATGTTGTAACATCGCAGCAGCAGGTCAATCACAACAGCAACCTGCAGCAGCAGCAACAGCAGCAACAAACACTGCAACTGCAACCCGTTGCAACAGTTAACAATGTGCTGACCATGAAAACGTTGCCACCTTCGGGAGTGCCCACAACCATTGCCCAGCAGCGCCTGCAGCCAAAGATGCCCACGGGGAAGGGGCGTAAGGCGACAACAAATCGTTTGCCACCGGGAGCTGTCAACCTGGAGCGAAGCTATCAAATCTGCCAGGCTGTCATACAAAACAGTCCGAATCGTGAGAACCTCAAGGCGCAGCTGCGCCCGCCAGCGGCCATACTCAGCCAGCAGCAGCAACAGACGACGACAACGCCAACAACTGCAGTGAGCAGCAGCAATGCAACACATAATGTGTCCACCGTGGCAGCCACGCCCTTGAACAATGTGCCGGCAGCAGCGACCGTCGCTGTGTCAGCACCAGCACAAAATCTGCTCAAGCAGGACGAGCTGCCAGCCCTGCCGCCCAATGTGCTGGGCGTGGGCAGACCGGGCGTCTATAAGGTAAGTTGCCACGGTTACCCATCAATTAGAATCGCTTAACTAATATAGAGAACCAATTGTTTATCCAGGTGATAGGTCCGCGCATGAGTGGCTTTCCCCGGAAGAAGTACGTGCAGCGCAAGCCCTCGCCGACAACTGTGATGCGGCACTTGCTGACTGCAACGCCTGGTGCGTCCAGTCCACAACAGCAGCAGCAGCAACAGTTGGTCACGCAACAGTCCGGCCAAGAGCAGCAGCAGCTGTTGCATCAGAATGGCACGGGGCAATATGTGCTGGTGCATCGCGCCAATGTAGGCGCAGCCGACAATCAAGCACCGCGGGCTTCCAGTGCGCCGCCTTTACATCAAAATCAGGTGAGTAGTCGAGCTTACTATAACTGAATTTGATTATCAAATTAATTCCTTTTCATCAGTTTGTTGCCGTTCAGAATTCGCTGCACAGCCTTAATGGCATTAGCTTGGGCGGACGCGGGCGTCCGGCTTCAGTGGACAACAACAATAGTGCCGGCAACGATGCAATGCATCATAACGAGTTGCAGCAACAGCAACAACAACAGCAACTCAGCAATGTAAACGCGGCTGCGAATATTGTGCGGCGCAATATCGCTGCAGGTAAATTGGTGTATTATTAGTGCTTAGCGAGGTACGTCTTTCAAATCACCCCACACACACACACACACACATCAAAAATTTGAATTCATTCATAAATTGGCACGTCATCATATTAATGCATTATCATACTAGATTTGTTAGATATATCAACTATTTGGCAAACAAAAAACAATATCTCCACATTGACTCATTCTTCTGTTTTTTTCTGTTTCCACGTAACCCTTCTTAGCGTATGCGTAACGAGTATGTAAACTGCATGCTTTTATTTTTAATTTATATGCATTCACAGATTGCATTCACTCATTGTAATATTAAGCATATGTGAAAATGATATAATTGCCAATGATTCATAGTGTTAGCAGGAAAAAGTGCAAATTTTATAATTGATATTCAGATATAATTGAAATGAAAATGGTATAATTGTAAAGTTTTATATTATACCTACGTTTTTTATTCAGCAGGCTTCATATTTTGATATAACAATAACAGACCCAAGGAAGCATAATTTACAATAACTCTTACATTTATCAATTCTCTAACGATTTTATTCTTTATATAATTATATATATTTAATAATATAATAGAAATTTCCATAGCTGCTTAACGAATTCGACTTTATTCAAGAATCTACAAAAGATTTATTTTCTGAAAAAAAAAATTTAAATATTAATAGTATAGTAGTATATAGTACTTGGAAATAATGTCAAGATGATTTAAGTTTATTTTCACTTAAATATAGCAAATAGAAATTTTTGATTTTCATTAAGCTTGCATATATACCAGCTCTTAGTATCCTCAACTGTGAATGCAGCAATTATATTAATGTATCTACGATATTGATCATAATCTTTATAATTTTGGAATATACAGTAATATATAGTGTATATAAATAAGTAATTTTTCAGTTAAAAATCGTGTAACTAATACCGTGGTCCACTTTTAATAGGTACCAACATTACCTACATAGACAACAGCAATTCGTCGGCAACTCTTATGGATGCGAGCAACAACTACATCGTGACGACTACAGCAGCAACAACAACGGCTGCCGGAGCTGCAGGAACGACGCAGCAAACAACACAGCAGCAACAGCAGCCACAACAACAACAGCATGCTCTAATCCAACTGCATCAAAGCGGCGAGAACACTCCGCCAGGTAACGACGCGACCAACAATGGTTGTGCCTGTGCTTTAAACGCGATGGTCATTTGTCAGCAATGCGGCGCATTCTGTCACGATGATTGCATCAGCGCCTCGAAGTTGTGCGTGTCCTGTGTGATCAGATGAGAGCTAAGCCTCCAGATGCAACTTGACAACGTATTATAGTAATATATAGAGTTAAACCCATTTAGATGCAATGCTAATGCTATATTCTGTATATACATACATATATATAACTATATATTGAATGGCATGTCGAAAAATCAGTTCGAGAAAGCATGAGTATACATTGTTAAATACCAATCACTCCTTTTTTACCCAGACAATTTATAAGCTAGACTATAGAAGCGAAAACCCAATTATAAATACCAAGTGCAGAGGCTTAGAGACACCGAGAGAAAGAAGAAACGAAAGCTAATGCTGATAAACGCTTAGACGAAAAGCAAATACCTTTTGTATAAAGAAACTAGCTATAAAACAAAGCTTAATAATCAAGCAAGTGTTGTGTATTACGTGCATGCTTCGTACCTTTAAGGAAAGGGTATTACAGCTGCACATAAAAATGAAAAAAATAAAAATAAATAAATAAAATAATGATATAAAGATTAACAAAAAAAACAACAACAAAAAAAAACACTCATTGTAATTTAAACAAAACAGAACAAAAACAAAAAGGCAGCGGCAAAAGCAGCAAATAAAACCAATAAAATCCAAGCTATGTAAATATTTATGTTTAATATTAATTGTAATTTATAAATTAAAAATATCATATTTACACAATATATATATAGACATATATGTGTATATATATATGACTATGTGTAATTATGTTTAAGCTAGAATTGAGAAAAACTTCAAACTTAGGTTGACATATGCCTGAAGACTATATTTTTATAATTTGTCGCAGCAGTTGATTCGTTTTTAATCAAATACATAAGCAACTACATTATATTCATACATGCAACTACAATACACATACATTTACATAACATATATATTTTACTGTGTAATTTTTCGTAAACCTAAGCTCTTTTTATTTCCCTAATTCTAAGTTTATCATCCCACACAATCCACAAATAAGAAAAAAAAAAAAAAAAAAAAAAAAAACATCTCTAGCATACACATAATATAGCGCATAAAATTAATTGTAATTCGCATATAAAAAATTGATTTAAATGCATAAAACTGTTGATAAAAGAAAAACAAAAACAAACACACAAATATACACTGCAACAAAAAAATATAAATGTTAATTGAGAAACTAAAATGCAATTTAAAAAGAAAACAAATATTATATAGAGATGAGGAACAAAATTTAAAAAGTAAAACAAAAATCATTTTGCTCCTAGATGCACTCAAAATTAACCAATAAACATTATTACAAATAAATTGAGAAAAAAAAAAATCAAAAATAATAATAGACCTATATTTACGGGGGTATGCTTAAAAATGCTTAAGAATTCTTCAGATGTGTTTACATTTATGGTTTATGTATGGAAGAATACGTTTAATTTTAACAAAATGCTTTTTATTTTTAACTAGAACAAAGAATTTAGTATTTACAAAGGCAATGTAAGTGTGCCAACCACTATAGAAACAATTGTGGACACCTCTGCCATGGCCCCGTTGCCGGTATCACCACACATAAGAGTTTTCGATATACAGGGAATCTCTTTGTAACCCCATTTAATTAGTTTGTCAATCTGCTCGCGCGTAATGGGATGATCGTACATGCGTGTATTCATGGCCGGTGCAAAGAACAGTGGCTTCTCCAAATCCCAAGCACGAACCACGCACAACATCAAATTATCGCAAATACCCTGTCATAAAATAGATTTGATAATAATGTTTACCTAATGTTTAACGAAAGAGAAGTTCATCTTACGCTGGCTATTTTGGCTAGAGAGTTGGCACTGAGTGGTGCAATTAACATAAGGTCGGCCCATTTGCCTAGGTCAATGTGTAATACCGGATCGCCGCGTTTATTCCAGGTGAGCCACTCGTCTCGGTTATGTAAAATGGGTACATGCTCCGGCACCTCTTCCAGTTCAAAAAAATGCTTCGCATGCTCCGTTATGATGACTTTAATCTGGTTCAAATATATACAGTTTGTTAGTGAACAGAAAGAGTGAAAGCATAGCGAGACTTACATTAAATTTGTAGGGCAGCTTGTCGTCGCTGAATTCGGATATCATTTGCACCATCTTAATGGTGGCCACGCTGCCTGTGGCTGCAATTAAAAGATTGCGTTCCGGCTTCATTGCTATTGTTGCTGTTCTTTCACTGTCGGTTGTTCCTTTTCCGGAAAGCCCAGTTTCGCCCATTCTGTTTTTTCCATAAGATTATTTTCCATGCGACAGCCCAAATACTCTTTTGCTTCAGCCCGGCACTTGGAGTTGTCGTTGTCGTTGCGGCGCAAGCAACTGGCGTAAATCAAGAAGTGCTTCTTACACAAGCTCTCGTGATCTAACGGAAAGCTGCCCTTTTCTGGCGCTGTGGGTATGAACTTCTTTTGATTGTAAATCTGTGAAGTCATTTGAGTATCTTGCTTATCTTAAGGCCTTCATAAACGATCGTGAGGAAATTATGAAATAGATAAAAGGTAAATATAGAGGCAGTAAAACCAACTGTGAACTGCTGTGGGCTGCCAGACTTTAAAAATGGTAATGAAAGTGGCAGCACGGTAAAAACAGCTGCAGGTAGATACAAATTTTCTTAAAATATTTTTTTTATTAAATACTGTTGCTGAAGAAAACCCTATATCTTGAATATTTAGAATAATTCTGGTATTATTAAATTCAATATTTAAGTCATTTGTATATTTTTAGTATTGTTTATATTAAAAGTCTTGTAGCAGCCCATTTAATTATTTATTGAATGGAATATTAATATCCATTACAAAGGCTTATCTTGCATTTACGATTTTAAATTAAAATATATATCAGCTATTTAAATTGCCAAATATCTGTTTAAGCCTTGAAAAGTCTGGCAGCGCTGTACACGAAGCCGGCAGAATGCAGTGGCTTAAATTGTTAATTTATTTTATTTCAATACTAATATTAAATACAAATGCCGAATTTGAACGCGATCCCAATGGGTACATTGCTTACTGTCCCTGTATGGGTAAGTTAAATCAGAACTCCTTGTTTATTTGATTAGTTTAATTTATTGTTTGGCCTTTTCAGGACGCTTTGGTAACCAGGCGGACCATTTCTTAGGCTCGCTAGCCTTCGCCCAGGCTCTAAATCGGACATTAATTTTGCCACCATGGGTAGAATATCGCAAAGGTGAAATGCGCTCTCGTCAGGTGCCTTTTGACACATATTTCGAGGTAGAGCCGCTGCAGGAGTTCCATCGCGTAATCCTCATGTCAGACTTTATGGAACACCTGGCCGATGAGGTGTGGCCTGCCAACGAGCGCATTGCCTTCTGTTATATGGAACGCAAAAGCTTGCAGCAAGATAAAAATGATCCAGATGCACCGAATTGTCACGCTAAGGATGGCAATCCCTTTGGTCCATTCTGGGATACATACAGCATTGATTTTGTGGGCTCGGAGTTTTATGGGCCGCTGCATTTCGATGTGCGTCACAGCTCGATAGCAACCAAATGGCAAGAGAACTATAAAGCTGACAAGTGGCCCGTTTTAGCGTTCACCGGCGCACCGGCCAGCTTTCCCGTGCAGCTCGAGAATCGTGAATTACAAAGGTACTTAGTATGGAGTCCAAAGTATCGAGAAGCCGCTCGAGAATTTATACGTACGGTTCTTCCCCGTGGCGCATTTATTGGACTGCATTTGCGAAATGGCATCGATTGGGTGCGGGCCTGTGAGCATATTAAGGACAGCCAGCAGCTCTTCGCTTCGCCTCAATGTCTTGGCTATAAGAATGAACGTGGTGAGCTCTACCAAGAGCTCTGTATGCCCACCAAGGAGTCAATTATCAGACAGCTAAAGCGAACGATTAAAAATGTGCGTCAATTGCAGCCAAAGAATGAGGTGAAGTCCGTATTTGTGGCATCCGATGCGAACCATATGATATCTGAGCTAACGAATGCGCTCTCTCGTATGGATATCAGCGTACATAAGCTGCAAGAGGATGATCCTTATTTGGATTTGGCCATACTAGGACAATCGAATCACTTCATAGGCAACTGCATCTCTTCGTATAGTGCATTTGTCAAACGGGAAAGGGATACGCACGGATTTCCATCGTATTTTTGGTCGTTTCCAAAAGAAAAGGAACGTCAGCAAACGAAGCCTCATGAGGAGCTGTAAATGCCGCGACAATTTCTGACGAATCTCTCAAAAAAAAAAAGAAGGTTATATGCATATATATCGCCAGCATTTAGTGTTAAGCTAGAAAGTATTCAGAACATTTCATCGCGAGAATAGTCTGACAAATATCCAACCTAACAAATTTAATATATATACTATACAAATTCCATTAAATTAATTTGTATACATTTCTACCTTTTGTCGGACAACTTTCAACGTATAAGCTACAATTAATTAGTCTATGATTTTGATTTTACTTAGAAATTTATTCAAGCTTGCTTTTTCACGCATTCCTCAAAATAATTTATATCATGTAAAACTTTACACCAGCGTATTTTATTTGATCTTGGATGTCAGTTGTCTCTAATGTATCAGCTTTTGCGAGCGTGCCAGATCCAATTGTGCAGATGATACATTTGTTAATCCCTCGCGTACAGAGCTGAGGTTCTCCTTCCAGGCCTGCAACAGATCGCGCAGCTGTTCCCACTGTGGTGCACCAAAGGTGCGATGCATTGTCGATGAGATGTGCACCTTACGATTGGCCTGATCGAGACGTGCACGCACCAGCTTCGTCTTCAACACTTCTATGACAAACGGCTCCACTTCATCCTCGTTGATTTGCAATTCCTTGGTCAGTGTGTCGAATGTCATCTCGGGGTAGCTTTCGGCCAGTTGCATGAATGTCAACAGCCGCATTTTCTTCATATTCTGCTCGTGATTCAAGCCTTGGGAGTTGACAAACTCCTTGTGATCCTCATAGAACTGCACATAAGAGGGCAGCTTGTCCGAGACAAAGATGGACAGCAAATCGTGTATTAGATCACCTTCCAAAAAGCGAACAGGCTTCAGCGAAAGCAAGGGGTCGAGCAGGAATGTATTGGGATCGGCCAGCGCAGTTACAATGCACTTCATAGCATCCTCACGAGCAACGCACGCATTGTCTGCCGTATATGTGCCCAATAGCTCAATCATCACCTTTGAGGACAGCTCCAAGTTAGTATCCTTGGTCACGTCGTGCAATAGACGATATAACTTTTGCATCTGCTCACTGGAAGGCGGGCAGTTAGCGAACTGCGACTTCAATTGATCGACGCCAGTGAAGACTTCTAGCACCTGATCACACTGCTTGGCCACTTGCACCAAATGATAGTAGACATGGTAGCGCAAGGGGGATGCTGTGTCCAGATTGTTGAATAACCGCCAAAGCGATTGCAGGCAGACTTTCGCCAGCGGCTGGTTGGGCGCCTTAGTCATCTTTTCGCAATAGGCCAGCACAATGTTCTCGCCACGATCCAGCGGTATCTAAAGGTGGAATCTTTAGTGATATATATTCTTAATCAATAATATACTTCATACATACCGTTATCATGATGGATACAATGCTATTTAGTATGCCATCAATTTGGGCTGGTTCGCCGTCTTTGAAGCAAACTTCACATACACCAATTATTTTGTGCAAATCATCCTCGACGCCTTTGTTCGATTTCTCCGATGAGATTTCTGCACCAAGCTTCTTAAAATACTTGCGCAGCTCTTGCACCTGTAGGGAAGACAAAAAACAAATTCATTTTAATTTATATATTTATTAGATTTGTTTTTGCACATAACCTCACTTAAGAGGTAGCGCCGCATATACAACACGTTAAAGTATAATTGAAACTTTACCTGTTCGTCTAAAGACAGGTCTATAAACACCGGATGCGAAGTCATCGTTTTTCAGAATGCTGAATTATTTATTTTTAGCAGAAGAATAAACAATTTTGCACGCACACGTCGTCGTCGTCGCTGAATTGACAACTCGAAAGGAAAAGGCAAAACAATAATAGAGTTGCCACACTGTGCAAAAATAATCGATATGATAGGCAATAACGATAATTGAATTTCGAGATATTTGTTAATTTACCGGGCTGAAAATGGAAGACTTGGACGACGACTCGTTTGACGATGTTTTGGCTTGCATGGATATACCCCCAGCGCCAAAGCAAACTAAAATACAACCGGCGACTGAAACAGTAACTACTAGCAGTTCCACCGCTACAACCAGCACCGGAACAGTTAAGGCACCACCATCAAATCCTCACAGCGTTTTAGTGCACACTAAGCAACGCGGGAATCCAATTCTAAAATCCATTTTAAATGTGCCTCTGGAGTATAGGGATGATATAATACCAGACTATGTGGTGGGGCGCACTGCCTGCATACTGTTCTTATCGCTTAAATATCACAATCTTAATCCGGATTACATATGCCAACGTCTTAAAGCCCTGGGCAAATTATATGAGCTGCGCGTACTGCTCGTCCAGGTGGACACACCGGAGCCCCATAATGCGCTCAAAAGTTTAACGCGCATTTCCCTGTTAGCCGATTTAACAATGATGTTGGCCTGGAATGCCGACGAGGCGGGCAAAATAATAGAAACTTACAAGCAATTCGAAAAACGTTCCCCAGACTTGATTATGGAGCGTGTGGAGTCCAATCCGCATCAGAAGGTGTGTAACGCTCTTAGAGTCTTTAAAGTGTTCTTAATATTTCATATACTTCATAGCTTGTAGCGGCTTTGACCAACATTAAGCCGGTGAACAAAACAGATGCTGTGACCTTGCTGCAAATCTTTGGCAATCTTGAGAATCTTATCAATGCCAGCGAGGAGCGCCTATCGCAGGTCATGGGCTTGGGGCCACGCAAGGCCAAAAAATTGTACAAAACACTGCATGAACCATTTCTTAGCAAATAGGCCCAGTTATTTATTACAATATATCCATTACTTATATAATACACAAAGACCTTAGTACTATTCCTGCAGCTTCCATATTTTAATGGTGCCGTCGTCGCTGCAGGAGATTAGCTGCCCGACATTTACCGGATTCCACTCAACGGCATTCACATCCTGTTCATGGGCACTCTCCTCGGAAGTTAACAGTTCAAAGCTGGGTGCATCTCGCTTTGAATCGCTGCTCTCCTTAAAAATGCGTATAGCGTCATCGCCGCACGCGCTGGCTATCAGGCCAGTTAGCTTGCACCAGGACACATCGTAGATGGCACGTGTGTGCAGGCCGGACAGGGTACACACACACTTCCACACAGTCGTCTTATCGGGCGTTGCAATGCCGGCCTCATTGCCTGGATGATAGGCACGCCAGATCTTAAGTGTTGCATCATCGCTGCAGGATACCAAACGCTCGCCATCGGCGTCGAAGTCAATGCTCCAAACGGTACTCGTATGCGAGCTGAGCGTAGCCGTACAATCCCAATCACTATCTAGTGCACTCTCGGCATACATTTTGATTGTGTTATCATACGAAGCCGAGGCAAGGATTTCCTTTGTCGGATGCCACACTACACGCTTTACATCCTGCGAGTGGGCATTAAGTACTGCGGCGCATTCGAATTCATCATCGCCAGCCACTTCCCAGATCCACACAGATTTATCACGTGAACAAGTAGCCAATAGACCACCACTGCGTGACCAACTGACACTTTTCACCTCGTTTTCGTGTCCCTCCAGCGTCGCAGTGCATTCGTGTTTGGACCAAATGGCTGTGGTTGCATCAAAGCTAGCCGACGCCAGATACTCACCACACGGAGACCACCGTACCTCACGTATGGTACGCTTATGTCCGTCCGAAAGTATTGTCTTTGTTGTCCATGTATTCCCAGATAGGGACCAAATCCTGATGGCTTTGTCTTCGCCACAAGAAGCGAAACTGTTTCCCTTTGGATGCCATGCAACGCCCCAAATACGGCCTTTGTGACCTTGCAGCGTATGCTCTAGAATAAGGCGACCCATAATACAATTCTTCTATATATATTTGATTATATATGATGGCTTAATTGATAACACTGCATGCGTACAGGTCCAAAAAACAGATGTTGGTCAACTGTTCAGTTCCGAACTAGTTCGATCGATATTAGTATAAACAACAATTGAACTTCTAAGTCAGCTAGCTGGCAACGCTAATCTCTTATCACCGAACCCTATCACAATACCCTATCGATAGTTGCAACAAACCGATAGTAATTTGCACTGAACTGTAGGAAAACAGCCTTTGCAGCTAAAACATTTTTTTCTAAGGCGAATAAAATTCAACAAAGAACTAGACTGGCTTAGTAATTATACCAGGCAGCTAAGTTAACGGTGTCCAGTGTACCCAAACAAAAGTAGTGCATTGTGCATAGACGCGGAACCATTTTTCATTTTCTTATAAGAAAATGAACGGTCTAATTGTATTCAATAGCGCTAACGATGTTGCTTATCAGAATTTAAATGGACCACTTACAGAAAAAATATGCAGCATTGCAATAGCGCAAGGTCTGCTCCCCACTCCTGGGGCTCCACTGGACAGCAATGTACTGCTGCAGATATTTAGCCCGATTATTAGCTCCCAGCGAATTATGCACTGTCAATTTGATAATGCATACGCGAGTTTTCAATGCGAAAATGGCTTCAATTTGACCTTTGGCGAGCTATTGGGATTTACATTCTTGAAAATTGGCCAAGTTGAGATTGAGCAATTGATGCGGCAACTGGGAGTGGCTATGACGCTAACCCGTTACTGTTATGGTACCAATTTATTTGGCTCACAGGCAGGCGCAATGCAACAGGAGCTGCTGACGCAGTGCATCAATTGCTATGAATCGCAGCTATGGCAGGAGGATCAGCAAGAACAACAGGCCTATTTGCTGGAGGCATTGCCTAAGTTGCTTATCAACGCTGAATTAAAGCGAACTGTGCACGTCACACTGGATGCATTGTTGGAGCAGCTGCGTCAAACTGGAGGACAGCAACGGACACACGCTTTACTGCTCGTCTCCAACAAGCTGGTGGCTTTGAATAGCACACGCCAAGCGCTACCCCTGGCACCGGCTGATCTACTCTTCCTGGCCATTCTATCCCGTGCACTACAATCCCAGAGATCTCAACGAGCTGTAGCTGTCTTTCTGCAAGGCGTCACCCACGATGTCAATTCGGGCTGTGTACCCTGCATTGTGCATCTATCCCGTCTGCATGGTCATCAGGTGTTACTGCAGCTCATCGAGTACGGCCACATGCCCTTGACCAGCTCCATCTATGACACTTTCTTTGTACTCCAGAAGATTGTCGCTGTGCAGCAGCAGGGCGATGCCGATGCACTGAAGCCTGCCTATGAGAGTCTCGAATCTTTTGTCAGCCAAACTTTGACGGCGCTCAAGCGACATCTGAAGCAAAAGCACGACGACTTGGAGAGCTGTGTCAAGAAGTTTACAGCCCGTTGGGAGAATCTACGAAAAATGTATGTGGAGTTCTTCAAGAGTTACGAGCGTGAGCTGCTTGTACGCATCGAATCCAATCTCCCAGCCTTTGTAGAGGAGCTCAAGCAATTGTTCACGCTATCCTTGGCCAGTTGCGACATTGCCAGCAATCAGCAACTGGATCAACTAGCCGAATCGGCATCTGTTGTCGAGGCAAAGCTCTTGGAATTCGCCGAATTTCTTGCGGTTAAAGCTGCGCGTAATATCTCTATTGATGCGTATTTGGAAGACTTTCCTGGTCTGGTGCATTTCATGTACATAAATCGCAGCTCGGGGCAAATGCTGGCGCCTGACTTACGACAGGGGCAGCCACAGCTGTTGCCTAAATCTAAGCTCTGGCATATGGTGGAGTTTACGCGCAACTATTTGAAGAAAGGTCAAACGACAGTCATGTGGAAGGATCGTACATTTCATTACTCGTATTTCCTGTGGTTCGAGGATCTATCGGGCGGCATATTGAAATGTTCCTTCGACTTACAGCAACATTTTCTCTCCACCGGCTTTGGGAATGGCAACGGAAATGGAAATGGAGCTCATAAATCGCCCCCAGAGCCCGGTTGCTTACCCATGGACTACTACAGCGAACTGGCCGAGCTCTGTTTCCCAAAGCTGGCTGGCGGCAAGGTGCGCGTCTATGAATTGTATTGCATTCACTTGGGCCTCGTGACGGCCACCTGTGCCGTGGAGCATGCCCGCCGCCTGGTAGCCACCATCAGCGATGTCGTTGGCGAGGGAACGTTCTAGATTTAGTTACACTCTATGTAAATTAGTGACTATTATATTTATGAACCTATTTATTCTGTGTAAGTATTTTATACATAATTTTAAGTTATATTTATTACTGTGACATTCCAAAGACAAAAAAAAAAAAAAAGACACTCGAAATGTTTCAATATCTGTTGTGAAACAAACGATCAGATCATATGATATATATAAAATCAATGCAATTTATATTGGTTTCCTTAAATTCTTTTCACCTTGAATGTTAAAAGTAAAGCAAATGTGCAATAAAGCTGAAAACAATATGCAATATTATATAAATCAAATAAATAGCTAAAAACGTACCAAGTATAGTTAACCTCAAATGGATATTCGTCGTGACCATAACGCTGGCTTTTCTGGCGCACAATGCTGCGACTTCCCAATCAGAGCAGTCTAATAAGTAATATAAACAACTAGTAATTAATGAAACAAATAGTTTATTATATAACAACATTATTTATTGCGTCGCCGTTGCCGTCGACTCTGTTTGCATCTGCTGCCATTTCTCCTCGAAGAAGGATTTGCGTGCCGTCAGCGGCATTGATTTCTGGCGCAGCATATAGTTCTCGTTGCCCATAGCCGTATAGGTATCATCTCCAATGAGATTTCGTAGTGCAATATTTTTCTTTAGATGCTTATCGTAATAACTAATGCCGGCGGCTACAAATTCTGGTCCAAGCGTGGCAAGTTGTTTGTCAATCGTCGCATCGTCGGTTACTTGGTTGAAGTCCTTCATAAATGACCAACTGCCCAAGCCAAATAAGCCCAGAATGTTGTACATAACAAAGCGGATCTGCGAAGGCAAAATCAAAGAATTAATAAAAATGGTGTGAGGTTAAGCCGCTAAACAACTTACACTGCCATGGCGCGCAAACAACTTAAGACGTAGATTCAAAAAGTGTCCAACCGTATAGACCATGAAGAAGCTTAAGCTGGGGAAAATGGAGTTTAGAAGAACGCGATGCGTTTGCAGTTGGAGAATTGCTTTGCACAGTCCAAAAACCTGCTCATCCTCGGTCAACACAATTGCTTGCTCTAACAATTTACCACTCTCCGAGCTCCAATCGATTTGACGATCTCGAAAGCGTATGTCCGCGCGCTTGATCTCTCCAATACTGTTATAGCCATAATTTACGGGTATTCCCAAAACAGCACCAAAGCGAAGTTTCGTTGTGCCTGCTTGAAACAGATCGAAACCGAACACGGTAAATGGCTTGACAAACTGCCGTTCATGCTTCTCCAATTGCAGTTTATCCATTGCCTGTTCTATACGTTGCAGAACTGCTGGCGGCACCTCACGTTCAATGCCATTTCTATATGAATAAGAAAAATATTTGTTGAACATGTGTCCCATGAATCATCACTTGCTCACCTACTGATAGCATTGCACAAAGTCGCGGTAATATTTCAGTCCAAATGTGTGTGGCACAAAGTTGGCCAAAAATAGACCGACTGTGGTTGTGCCTGCTGCATAGAAAACCACTTTACGTCCAGTTTCTGTCTTAAAAAAGGAGAAAACTCCTCCGCCGGGTTTCTTTTGCATGTTTGCCTGTTTTGTAACCACAACGTATCGACCAACCGCCACTGGAATTGATTCTAAACATCGAAGTAGAAATTATACTCATAAATGAGGTACTTATCGATTATTCGTATAATGTTCCGATATCTATTGGCGCAGTCTTCGAATAATAGTTTGATTAGTGTTTACTGTTCTTTTTTATTCACGTTACTCGACTTAAGATCAATTACAACTACATTATTTTTCGCAGCTTTGAGCCGCCACCAACGTCCCAAGCGATGTTCCTGACCAACAGCCACATAAAGCTTGCTGCCATCCGCATTGAAAGTGAGGGCATTTATAAAGCCAGTTATTGGTATGCTTAGAATCTGCTGCAATTTACGAGCATTTGGATTGCTTTGCCATAGTCGGACGCAGCCGTCGCAAGAACCTAAAATACAAAAAATAAAGAATTATTTTGAATCCTAATAAATATAAGTCTGCAGTTGCACCTGTTGCTACTAAATCTGTATTGACGACTACGGCAATCGCTGTTATCCAGTTAGCTACATCATTGTCGCCCTTGCCATGAGCCAATTGCGTTGTACTAATTGGTTTCTTCTTCAATGCACTCCACAGACTAACCGCACTGTCGTAATCATAAATAAAATATGCGTAAGTAAAACGTTCTCCCTTTGTCTAAAATTTTATACTTACCCATCTACTCCGCCGGATACAAAATGTTCATCATTAATAAATTTAACGCACTCAATGCCATCCTTGTGCCCATTATAAATCAATTGCGACTCTTCTGTAATCTTCCAAATACGCAAAGAGCAATCCGAGCCCCCTGCAGTTATGGCCCGTTCCCGACTCAATGCATCGATGCTCGTAACAGCAGTTTGATGACCAAATCTGTAATGAAATGTTATTAGACAAAACTTTAAATTAGTTATAAATTACTTACAAGCTCTCAACGTATGCCATTTCATCCACTGACCAGATCTTAACGGAACGATCTTTTGCAGCAGAGTAAAGCTCGTGGGTGCCTTTGCGAAAGACGAGACCCGTGACATTATCTCGATGACCTTTAAACGTTTGCATGTGCTTCATCTTCTGTGGGCACCAGATTTGTATATTAACTCCGCCCTCAGCTAATGCCATGTACTTCATGTCGCTTGACAGGCAAATGGCTATAACATGTGATCTCCGTTTCTTCGTGGTTTCGGGCTCCTCACGATGCGGCAGTACATCACCTTTCTCTAACACTTTACCACTCTCCGTGCACCATTTGAGTACATATTGCGACTTCGCCCCCGTGTACAGGAGCTTCCCATCCGCACTAAGGGAAAGCGCGCAGATTGGACTATGGTGAAGCTTGTGCTTTAGTACATTTTTAATTGTACATGATTTAAGATCGGCGGCAATCGTGCGTCGCAGACGCCCCACACTATCCAAATACTCCGTTTGTAGGCGTTGTTCTACACTCTGGCTTAATTCTTGTTGCTCGGCACGTTCCGCTTCTTGTTTTTCAATCTCCGCTAGATATTCTTTCGCCAGTCTTAAGCGTTTATCCTGGGCCGTTTCTTGTTCTTCATCTTCGTCGGCGGAAAATGCCAAGGTATTTCCATTATATTCTTCATCATCATCACTTGCAATCTCCTCATCGTCTACCTTGGCTCGACGTTGCTTTTTTGGCCCAGGAACTGCATTTTGTGTTTTCTTGCCCGGTTTGGCGTTGCCTTTTGCTTTTGTTGCATTAAGCTGAAATTATTTTTATTATTTACTGCATTCAATGTATGTATATCCTCATTTTCCTTTTATAGCTTACTTTTCGCTTTTTGTTGGCAGCCACTTTGGCAGCGCCTGGTTTCAGAAAAAACGATGAGGACATGTTATAAACTATATATTCTAAAATAAAATGTAAACGCTAAATGGCCCCACGTGCATAGTACAGCGCGCTTGGTATTTTTTAGTTCATATTGGACGCAACAGCTGACTGTCACGTGTAAAAAGGTGATGGCTATGTCATCATGTACCGATTGGGTTTCATAGCACTAATCTAAACACCCGCTCTTTGCTTCGATTTAAATTAAAAATTTATCCCTTGGTGAATGGTTAACATTCATTTAATAAAAGTAGAAATAATTATATTTATTTATTCCCGGGAATTTGTTTTAAAAAACAAATTGAATCCATTATCTTAATTTTCTTTCCAATTTGAATAATATAAAAAAATAAATAAAACCACAGTTTTTTTTAGTGTTATTGCCTGTTTATTGAAATAACTAAGTATTTTAAACATAATTAAAAATATATATTGATTTTTATATAAAAATGAATTAAATCAAAAGTGGGTTGAATTCAGTATTCATTTATTGTTTCAAATTCAGCAAACGCACATTACATGAATAATAATGAGGGACCAAGCTCTGATTTGTATAACTGAATAAATATTTTGACCCGAGTGTTTAAAAATTATCACAAATTATGTATACGTTCTCTTAAAGTTGTGTGTAAAAATTTTCTTTTTATTTTGCATTTATGTATCCTTGTAAAAATAAATTAAGTGTTGCGCGCTCTGTATAGGTTGATGTAAGTGGGAAGGGGTTTCGTACGTGTTGGGGATGCCTATAGAGAACCGCAAAAAGATGCGCCTATATTGGCGCCTCTGTAAATTGCCTAAAACTAAGTAACGTTCTAAATTAAAATTGTAAGATTGCTAATTATATAGAAAAACACACATGAAGTGAGATTAGGAATAATATGCATGTGCCCTATCACTCTCTCTTCCTTTCTACATGATCGAGCACAGGCCCGAAGTTTCGATGCCATTTTGAACTTTCTTCGTTTTCTTCAGCGTCACCTGTCGCAGCGCCGGCTTCAGTTCGATCACAGGCTCCGGCTCAGCTTCGACTGCAGCGGATGGTGGTGGGGTATTCGACCTTTGAATTGCCGTTCCCAAACCGCTGACAGTTGCTGGCTGGGATGCTGCTGATGCCGCCGCTGCTGTTGTTGCTGCTGCTGCAGGCACACGCGAACTGTTGCTGCTGTTGTTGTTGCTGTTGCTGCTGCTGCTGCTGCCGTAGCTGCTTCCAATTACGGAAATGCTACTTATGTTGGCAGGCGGCGCATTTGTGCTGCTGTTGCTGCTGCTGCTGGTGGCAATCTTCGGAACAAACGTGTTGCCTCCACACAGCACAGGAATAGTGGAAATTGTTTGAATGGAATTTTGCTGTTGCTGCTGCTGCTGCTGTTGTTGTTGCTGATCGGCATTTCCAGTGGCGCCAATGACGCTTATAGCCGACACTTGAGAGTCCGTTGTTGTTGTTGTTGAGGCACTATTATGACTATTACTACTTGTATTCTTAGTGATATTTATTTTTATTTTATTAACTATGCTAGCCAAAGGTAACGCCGGTGCCGGCCCCGCTGCACTTAAATTATGCGTCTCCTGCGGATTCTCACCATTAAAATCGGCCTCGCTGCTGGCTGCTGCAGCAACTGGCTCCAGTTCCAGCTCATCGTCATTGGCTGGCAATGAGAGAGATGTCACCGAGGCTGGACGCTCCAGCGTAGCTGGCGATGCAGTCGAATCGATGGTATGGGTTAATGTTTCTAATCGAGAGATATCAGTTGAGATTATATACATAGATATATATATATATATATAGAGAGATGGCTACTTACCGCTACTTAATATGGATATCTCATCTTCTGGCAGCGGAAGCAATTGTACTACTGTGCCCACATCCTCAAAGCCATCATCATCCTCTTCGTCGTCATCCTTCGGCTCTTCTTTGATTTTCACATTGAGCATCGGCACTGGCTCCTTTTCCACATAGTTGTCCAGATCGGTAAAGGGAATGTTTGGCTCCTGTATTTCCACATCTGATTCATTGGCGTTCTCTGACACTTTTTGATGATGCTCGTTATGAAGCTGCTGCTCATTCGATTGCTGCTGTTGTTTATCTTCCTGTTCGCTGCTTGTTGGCTTCTCCTTGGACAGCTCTGTCTCTGGTTCGGTTGTCGTAGCGACGGGCACATATTCATCATCGTCGTCATCGACAATCTCTGTAACACTCGGCTCCTCATTGGGCAGCACAATGACATCATCATCATCATCATCGTCGGCCAGCACCGTGCTGGATGTCTTCTTGACATCATCTAAGGATATGATTAGCACTATTAGTTACTTTAATGAACTTGCTTAGACATTCATTTGTGCTTACCCGATTCATCTTCCAGCTTGATCAGCGTATCCATGGCGTTGTCATCGCTAGCATTTAGCATATCCACATCTTCATTTGCTGTCGTGTCGTTATCAACAACTGGAGGTGGATTGAGCGAAGCTTTGTAGTCCTCGTAGCATAGTGGATGATAGATCTTGTCGTCTACGCGTATGGCTGAGCGTAGATGCCATTCCTCCAGCTCTTCGTTGTAGAACTGCTCGAATTTCTCGTGGCACATATCACAGCCGCGATCCACATCTGTCGGACCGGCTGCACAGCTGGGAACAGGTGAATTTAGCGAACGTTGCTGGGACACCTCATCGATGGCATCAGGTCCCAATTGTTGGCCCTGAGATTCGAGGAAATTCCTTTCTCTTTCTTCCACATCTTCAATTTCCTCGTATTGCTTCCAATCATTGAGATCATAGTACCAACGCCTCGACGTTGGCTTGCGTGTCGAATCGCGCTCCCTTCGATTCTGACGGAAATGCCAATCCAAATGCTGACTATACTTGATGGTTTGCTCCGGTGGGAAGCGCACGCCACAGCTGCTGCACTGCATGCCCAAATACAGGGTGGCTATCACAGCCGCCTGACGTGTCTTAATTGTCTCGGGCTTCGTCAGATCAATGCGCTTGATGGGCTCGAGAGGTGCGACTGCAGGCACAGCTGCTGCAGGTGTTGCAGCTACAACAGGCGCCACAGTTGCTGCTGGTGCAACAGTTGTTGCTGTCGCCTCTTTGCTAGAGTTGGAATTCGTATCCAAAGCAGGTACGTTAACTGTGCTGCTGTTGCTGGTGGTGCCCGCAATTATGCCCGAAGAGACGAGCTTCTGGAAGAGCTCGTCAATGTTGAGATTGCTTAGAGCAGCTGCTGCTGCCTCAGGCAAAGGAACAACAGGAGCAGTATTTGTTGGCACGCCGACAGCTGCAACAGCTGCTGGCTGCTCGGGCGTTGCTACTGCGGCGGCTGGTACAGTTGGCAACCCAGCCACTGGCAGTGGTGGCGGTTGTGGTGGTTCCGCTGGAGCCTCAGTCTTAATGTATACCATATCTTGAACGTGGGTCTTGCCCGCCTGCACGCCCTTGGGCAGCGTGCCAAAGCGTATGAAGCAATTGCGTCCTCCATTCAATTTCATGCTCTTAGGCAGTCCCCCATATTCCAGCTTCTGCAGCTGTCCATCTAGCAATGCATAAAGGAAACTATCCACGAATTGGAGCGAGTGCTGCTCGGCGCCCAAATGGAACGTCTGCTGGCGGCCATCGAGGAACAGCGGCACAATTGTGTGTGCATCGACAATCATGTTGATTTTGCCCACAACTAAATCTCGACGCACACGACCGATGTCCACATTTGGCGGCGGTCCCTCCGCCTTCAGCACATGCAACTTATTGCCGATGGGCAGCGAAACGGGTGGTCCACCAAAGTAGATCTCATACCAATGATCATCGATGTACAGCTCCCGAGAGGGGTGTCCGAAACGAATGCGATGCAGCTGCCCATCCAACTGAAAGGGTTTGTAGTCATCATTGAAGCTGAGCGCCAGCGGCTGCTCGTTGTGATCAATGTAGATGGCACGCTGTCCGTTCTGGAAGCCGATCTCATGCGGCTCATCGCCATCCATAAATATGATTGCCACCTGATTATAGAAACGTATCTCCTTAGTTCCGCCATCGATCGTAATGCTGCGCACCATATCTGCCATGGGATTGTCCAGTGAATTAATGGCTTTGGTTATGTTAACCGTTGGGACTGGCGGCAGTGTTAGCATGGCGGGTGGTTGCGGTGGTGGTGGCACGACGGCTTGTGCCATAACTAACGGCGGATGCTGCCAAGGCATGCCACGAAAACCAACATTTCCACCGCCTGCCACCGCATTTCGTTTTACATTGTTGTTATTGTTGTTGTTTTGAGCTAATTGCCAGGCGGCTCGCTGTGCTGCAGCTGGATCCACCTGCTCGCCCCATTTGCTGGGCTTGCGTCGCTTGCCATCGCGCTTGTTCTTCAGCTGCTTAGCAGGCGGCGGCTGCTGCTGCTGCTGTTGCTGTGGCTTGTCGACAATCGGCAACAGTTGCTGCTGCTGCTGCGGCTCGCCATCGCTACGCGGCGAACTGGACGCGTGATTCTCATTGCCCTTCAGTTTGGGTATGCGCTTTCGCAACACAGCATCTCGCGCTGCGTTTCGCTCCAGGTCCTCATCATCGACAGCCGCTTCGCGTCGCCGGTCCTTCCTGCCAGTCTCATTCAAAACCACAACCTTGCTAACTAGCTCCTTGTATTGCTCCGGATTTATGGCATTATTCTCGAACATTTCCTGTGCCTGACTTAGTATCGTACGCATCTTTTCGTCGTGCGCCTCCTGTGAGTCATCGCTCATTTTCAGCTCTGACGACAGCTGCTTGAGACGTTGAGTCACGGGATAATCTTTTGATTTGTCTGACAAATAAAATATCTAAAATAATTTGGCAACTGATGTGAATTTGAGGAATTACTTACCCGGCTTAGCCTGCTGCTTATTGCTGTGACGCGCGGTCTTGGCCAATTTGGCACGCAACTCATCTAATGTCGGTTTCTTCGCGGGCGACAAAGGCGACTTGTTAATTTGCTAAACACGAAGAATAGAGATTTAGTTGATAGTTACGTTAGTTAAATGAGTTAAGCTTTAATTGCTCACCTTGTTGGCCTCCCAGTTGTCCATGGAATCATCCTCGACAACAATCACGTTGCCCGGCGCAAGAATACTTGGAGCCAGCTCTCGACGCAAGTCCACATCTTCGCTGCCAAAGAGGCTGCAATAACAGAAATATTTATATATTTAATCGAAATTCAGTTGCGGCTATGGCTGCACTTACGCATCCAGTTTGGCGGATTTACTGCGCTTCTGCTGCGGCTGCTGCAGCTTATCCTCATCCTCATCCGTGTCCGCATTTGCCGGCATCTGGGTAGCCGAGCGCTTCTCGCCAGCTGAGTGCGTCAGAAGTTCCGCTGAACCCGGCGCCGGAGACGATTGCCTAATGCTGGCCGGGATCATGGCTGTAGTTGCTGCTGCTGCTGCAGCGATTGCTGTTGATGGTGGTGCTGCTGCTGTCAGCAGTGTTGCTGTTGATAAATGCGCTGTAGATTTTTCTAATTTATTAAACGGTTTTTGTATTTTGAACGACACTTTTGTGGGCAATTTGGAGGAAGAAGTGTTGCTCGTTGCGTTGGAGGCGCTGCTAGCAATTTTTGTTGTGCTGCTGGTGTTGTTGCTGTTCTCGTTGCTGTTGTTGCCGCTGTCTGCAATCGTTGCTGCAATTGTTCTAGCCGTGCCGAGTGATATGGAAGGGGCCGGCGGCGTTGCTGGCCTTACGGCAGCCGCCATGCTGGCCAATTTGGCAAAGGGCCGCAAATCGACGTCCTTGCTAGATGCATCTAAATGCGGTGAACGTGGCCCTGGTTCAAGTAGTGTGAAATGTGTATCTAGAAATTTGTATTTTATGCTTCCACAAAAAACAAAGAGTTCTTACGAAAATTATAAAAGGGGCTGGGCACAGCCCTAAAAAAAAAGACTAGCAAAATGAAAAGAACTAAATAGGAAAGGGGTTTGAATAAAATCAATAAAAAAAAAAAAATAACATAAGAGTTTTTAAATTGCGTAATATAAAGAACAAAAGTGGATCATCAACATACACCAGGCACAGCAATTGAGCTAGAAAAATTAGTGGAAAATTATGAACAAAATAATAATAATAAAAAATAAAACTATTCAATTATATTTCCGTTAAGGAAACGGGTTAGACTAAATAAGAAAATATATAAATACGTGGGTTCTTAAAAAGTGCCGTTCTACAAATACAAAAATAAATAATAATAGTAATAAAATAACATATAATATATATACATATTTGGCAAGATGTATATCTTGTATTATAATACAACTACAAAATACGCTTTAATCAATTATTCTTCGTTTTATAAAATATTTACGTTTAAAAATATTTAAGTTTTGCTTAGGATTTCTTTTGTTTCTTTTAGACTTTTTACAACAAATTAAAGCTGGAGTCTTTATTTAATCTTAGTTTTATCAAAACTGATATGGAGCATATATCATAGTTTTTCTTTTTGTTTTTATCAGTTTACATTTTTTATCACACGATTTTCTCATTTTTTACAATTTCACAAAGTAAATATACTTAAAATTACAACAAAAGGCGGCACCTGGCTGGTTTTTATTTTGCATTAATTAAAACAACTGGAATGCAAAAGGTTTTCACAACGCATTTTTTATTATATTTGTTCTTTAGTTCTTGTTTTGGTTTTTGGTTTGTTTATTTTTCTTTTCTTTTCTTTTTTTTGTAATATTAAATTTGAACTTTATCGTTATTTGTTCTTATGTATTAATTAAGAAATTGCATAAATCTTATAGGCTTATATAGTTTCGTTTAAAATTTTGGAAATATTAAATTAATTTAATTATCTCAGTTTTATCAAATAATCGCAACGAGTGAAAAAAGCTCACCAAACAACGCCTACGAAAAGGAAAGTTGGAAGAACAAACTCAGAACGACAGGATAGGTGACAACCCTTAGAGTTACCATCAAAGCTTTTCAAGCAAAGTGCAAAGTTGAAAAAAAAAAAAAAAGAAAAGTAATTCTTGCAATTTCCTAGTTATATGAATGAGATCTGTTTATGTATGAGATCTTGATATTATTGATTACATTAAAACTATATATTTGAATGAGAAAATATTTAAAATTAGAATTGAAACTAATAGAGATTCAAGTAGCTTTTGATAGTTATTTGCAATGAAGTCATTATATGATTCCAGCAAAAGCTTGAATCGTTCACCTCTAAAATGGATTATATTGACTTCAATAACTGACTTGTAAATTTGTAATTAATTGCACTTTGCTATTTATTTCTGTAGCATGGGAGGGATCAACTGTAGTTTCGTAGCAGTTTTCCAATGAGATCAACACTTAACACTCAATATACCAACCCCAACCTGACCCCTTGATAGTCCCTGCTGTTAAGCCCTTGGTGCCGCCAATTTGGTTTGTAATTTGTGCATAATTCAACTACTTTGTCATTTGTATTGCTAACGACTTGGCTGTTGGCTAACAAGTGTGAGATTAGAATTAAAAATTGTTTCTTACGTTTCTCTAAATCATTTGCTGGAGCTGCTGTTGCTGTCGCTGCTGCTGCTGGTAAAGCTGGAACAACCACTGATGATATCGCTGCTGTTGCCTTCGTTGTTGGCTCTGGCGATTTGCTGCGCTCCACGCTGCGCATGTCCACATCCCTGTATATTGGTGAGCGACTGCGTGAACGCGTGCTCCTCGCGCCACTTGATTTCGAGCGACTCATGGATTTGTGTGAGGCATTGCGCTTCGATTTGGTTGGCGAGCTTGCAGGCGAGCTGCTCTTGCGTTTGCTGTGGCTTGATGGTGAGCTGCCATTATGGGAATACTCTTTGCTCGATGAATGCTTGTCACGTGAGCTAGACGAGCGTTTGACAGGCGAGCTACTACTATTCTTGTGTCTAAACTCTGAGCCAGAGGACGAGCTTGATGCCGTTGAGCTCTTTGACTCGCTGCGTTTGCGACTGCTGCTGGAGCTGTGGTGATTGTTGCTGCTGCTGCTGCTGCTGTTGCTGGGTTTGGAGGAACGATTGCTGCTACTGCCGCCTGAGTTGCGCAACGGAGATTTGCTACGTGAACGACTAGATTTATGCACTGAAGAGGAGGACGAAGAGTTGCCGCCTTTGTGACTGTCCAGACGTGGATCTAGTGCACGCATGGGCGCTGCCATTGGGGCTGACTGTTGCGGCTGCATCTGACGGGCCAGTCGAGGATCACGCTGACGCACAGAATTGAGCATAGCTGGATTGATTGGATGCACCTTTGGCTTGTTGACAAACGGCTGTAAATATTAAACAAAAATAGATTCAGTATACAGTATATTCTAATATGTTTAAGCATAATCCTTACAGGTTGGCCAACTACTGGAGCAATAGGCGCAACTGGACGCACAAGTCGCATTCCGCTAGGATAGTTAGGCGGAGGCACGCTAGTCTCCATGCCTGGTGGCCGTAGCATAGCTGGTGGAGCAGGCATGCCAGCTGTCATGGGCGTTACAGCTATTGCATCAGCTGCTTGACTTAGTTGGCGCTCCTGCTCCTTTAAATGCATTTTGGTCTGCTCCAATTCAAGTTCCAGCTTGCGCTTCTTCAGCTCCAGCAGCTCCCGTGTTTTCGCCTGCAATATTTCCTCCATGTCGCTAGGCAGAGCCGAGTTTACAGGCATAGACACCATGCCCTACGAAAGAAAATTTATTTAATTAGCTACTTAACTAGTCTTACAATTTGGTTCGTATAATGCTTACAGTTTTGAGAAAATCAGGATTGACATGTATGGCGGGATTAACGTGTATTTTATTAGGTTGGCTTGGTTTCGCCGTAATGGGCCAATTGTTATCCAAACGCTTGACCTTAACATCCAGGGCATACATCTTAGATGCAGGAAACACATCATTCCACGTTTGCCGCAACAAATACATGCGTTCACGCACTTTCTCCAGCACCTGGGATGGCGAATGTTGTACCTAAAGATCAGAAATTAGAAAGGATATTTAGCTCTGATGAATATTGCTTTTACATTTGTTGCTGACTTGACTTACCGATTCAAAGGCGTTGAGAAATATATTGACTATGCATTGCCCAAACAGCTGCACGTAGCTGCTTTTCACATTCTTAATTATCGAATCAATTAAATATAGTATGGGTAATTTGAATTCGGGCGGCACCTGTTTGATTTGGTAAGATAGGTAAGAATATAAAAATAGAGAATAAGTTTCTACAACGTCGCTAGCGAAGTGTTTCGACACAGATTGAGGAGCCACACCAGCATCAACAACTTCAGTTCAGTTCAGTCCTTGGCTCACGACTGACGATCATAGAGAGAAAAGAAAACAACGATGACGACGACGACAACGGCAGCTGCTGGACACAAATGCATCTCCATGTTGAAGGTGAGGGGGCAGTTGAGCAATAGAAAAAAAAAAAACAGAAAACAAAAAGAACTACGTAACCCAAGGTAAAGAAAAGCCTTTAACTCACTATACAGACGACTTTTAAGAAACAGTTCCAATCGCATTATATTCACATATGTTTCCACAGTGGAAAAAATGTTGTATAAATTTGCGTTATACGAATATATCTCAAATTTATTCGAAACTTTGCTCAACTTGGTTGAAAACAAAACCTTTGATAATTCTAATATTAAGAAAATATAAACGTATTCTAATATATGAAATACAAAATCTAGATTTTCTGGGTCAGGTTTTAAAATTGTAAATATATTGTATCTACAAATTAATTAAAATATGTATGCCGTTTACTTTACAAGTTGAATACATTACTGATTTGTTTTGCCTCAGTGTTTCCTTTTTGCCAAATTGTTTTTTTTTTTTTTTTTTTTAAATCTCTTAATTTGTCTTCTTTTGCTGCGTGTAGGTATTTATTTGTTGTTATATAATATTTATATTGTTTTTTCTTTGTTGATATTACATTTTGAATCAATGTTTTATACTTGTATAAAATAAAAGACAACTTGATGACAATTGTTTAAGTATTTTCTCTTTTATTGGAATTTTCTTTTCGATTTCTTTGTGTATTTTGTATCAAGGTATCGAGGAAAAAGAAGAATAGAAATATAGTAAACGTCTTACCTTGTAGTGGATAAATCAGTCTCTGCTTAAAACCCAAATATAAATGTATCAAATTGAGCTACGATATTTCTTTAAAGTTTAAACAACAAGATCAATCGAGATTGTTCTGTTAAAAATACAGCTATCTATTGCCTCATTGGTTAAACTTTAAAATGTGGCTTATACAAAGCGTATGCAGTTGGGGTAATATCAAAGAAAGTTATATATCAATTATATTACAATCTTTTCGTTGGCATGCCCACATCGCTTAACACAAAAGCCTGAAGGTAAAACAAAAGCCATCGATAACTTTAAAAGTAATTTATGCCCTAAATGTTGTAAATTAATCATTCTTAATCTCGGTTGCCATTTGATTTACAAGTATACTACTTGTTATTTTTAATAACATAGAATTTATCTATCTTCGTTAAATATGAAATCTTGCTTGTGGCTCGATTGCAATATCAATATATACAAATTGTCCACATTTCAGATATTTTAAATAACATTTAAACGAAATAGTTTTCTTTTGTAAATATTCAAGTGGCAATCGAGCTCTTTGTTTACACAGTTCCTGTCATCGATGGCTTTTCAACTTAAGGTCTTTCGTGGTTTCCCTAACTGCAACTAACACACACTTTGGACATGGAGATCATGTGTTAACACAACTGCCGTGTAAACGGCGGTATCGGCGACGGATGTACGTAGGACTCTTTTTGCATATATGTGTGTATGTTTCAATATGTCTGATATATGTGTTCGAGTGTGTGTCTCTCTTTCTGTGTGTTGTGGCTGTTTTAATTAATTATGCTTTATTTGTTAACCTGGCTGATGTGATATTCCACCACGCGCACAATGACATGGGCATAGTTAATATTTTCCTCGGCGAGCATGGTGAGCATATTGATGAGTGGCTTGCTATTGCAATTTAAATCCGTTAGACTAGATAAATATTCTTCGCCAATACGGCGTGCATCCTCTGGATACGATTGCAGTATATGCTCCATATTTGCAGCCGGCTCCTCTTGATCTCCTGTGGTTACCCTGTTGTAATCCGTGTCACGATTTACAATAAATTGCAATTGTTAAGCTGCAAGTGAAGAGAATTAAAAAACCAAATTATGATTTATCGATATTTCAGTGAATACAAATTTCCGCAACATCCCTACTCATGTGGTTACACACATATCTAAATACTCGAGTTAGTATGCATATACTATGTATATAAATATTATAATTGTTGATGTGGCTTTGCAGTCATAGCAAAATAAAAAACAATACACATGTAAACAACCACACGCCAACCAACTAAATATATTTATATCACATACATATGCAACTGTTCATGGGCGAACAATAAATACACGGGCAACGGGGCTAGGGGAAGTTTTTTCTTAGCAAATATTCAAAATGGCGGCCAGCAGGCATACAAACACGCATTTTTTCACTTTTGCAAAAACACCAAGTTCTTTAACAAATTCAATATTTAATCGATTTGAAACGCACACGTCTGCCAAATAGATACTTTTGGTATTGATTTTTTTACTGAAATCTCGACTTTTTATCTTTTTCCTACATTTTGTTGAAAAGCCACGTTTATACAAAACACACGCACACGTTTATCTTCACAACGCAATTTAAACGATAAATATAAGCTGGCAAACATACCTGTTTTAATAATACATTTGTACACTTCGTTTAACGCACTTGAATGCAGTGAAAAATAATTATTGAGCACTTTTTAAACTAAAACAAAATCAGCCTTTGACAACTTTTTCACGTAACAACTGCGATAATCTGATGAGTGTGCACTAGTGATGTGAGCTACGATTGATTGCCATACTTTGACGCATAAATGCGTCAGATATCGATAGGTAAAATAGTATCGATATGGGTACACAACGCGCAAGTTGGCAGCACCATAAGTTCTCGCACAACCAGCTGTTGATTGGATAGGGTCAACAAAGGGGCGATAGAAATCGCCAACAGCTAAATGCAAGTCGTTAATCTCTCACTATATCCACAAATAAAGAAAAATGGACGAAAGCGAAACTTATGTGCACAGCGCCTACCAGGTATCGATAATTCCGACTGATCTACATCACGAGGAAACAATAATCAGAGCAGCACAGTCGCTCGACTGTCTAAACAAAACAATCAACTCAATTTTTGGCCGCATCGATGCTCGGTTAGAAAAAAATGGTGCCAAGGTTCAGCATATAAATGAGCGTGTCATGCGTGCCCAGGCTAAAATTAATGCACTTGTTGGCTCCAAGAAATCCATCAAAATCTTTGCGCCCGCCCGGTTTCCAGGCCACGGTATCTTAAACAACATACCTGCAACCTTTCCGGCCGTGGCCAAAGAGTCAATGGATGTTCCTACACCAACACAAAAACATTCAACAACAGCGATATCAGAACGTCGTCAACGCAATCGCAATGCTGACTCAGCGAGTGATTCGAACAGTGCCGTGGATATCGACGCCGTGTTCTTTCATGTGCGTGGCGAGGAGCAGCAAGAGACGCCGCTTATCACAGAACGTCAGCTCACAAACAGCGTCGCAGGTTTGGGTCCATTGCCGCCAGCTAAATCAGTGCCTGCAGTTTTGCGCTTCAATACCAATGAATTCGCCTATGGCAGTGATGATCTAAATGCCTGGAAGCGGAACTTGCCTCCGCAGAACCATAAACGAGATGTCAACAATAAGCCAAAGCCCACCCAGTTATTGGCACCGGCGCCCCACTCGCTGGCACATGGCACCACCAAGCTAACCACACCAGCTGGGGACTTGCGCTATACGCCCGCAGCGTTGGCGGCACCGGCTATCGACGTGCCATTGGACTTACCAGATTTGCCAGGCATCGCGAATGACTTGCAGTATGTACCGGTCGAGGAGAAGACACCCATTGCACCATCGCATCAATTTGTCGATTTACCCGACTTGCCCGAGTTGACTGAACTGAGTGAAAAGTTAGATGTTGTTCCTGATAACATGGTTGTAACTGTGCAGGCAATAGCAGCGCAGACGCACATGACCAGGAGATCTTATACTGGAACTGTACCACCAGCTGCGCAATGTGCTCCACCACCACCTCCGCCGCCCCCACCACCACCGCCGCCGCCACCGCCACCACCACCCTCCCAAACAACTGCCAAACTGTCTTCTGATGGCGCCGTCAAACCCATCTCCCCATCCTTGGAGACACCTTTAAACATACCCGAATCGCGGGCACCACCACCAGATGATCCTCGATCTGAGCTGATGGCTGCCATACGCAATGCTGGGGGTGCACATGGTGGACGCTTGCGTTCGTCAGCTGCAGCGCCCGTCAATCCAAATGGAGACGCAGATGCTGTGGGCAAACAAAATGCAACAAGCCGATCCAGAGCAGGAGGTAGTGCAACCAGTGGAGGTGATCTGATGGCGGACCTGCACAATAAGCTTATGCTGCGACGTAAGGGAATCTCAGGCAATCCAAATCCGGTGGAGCAATCTGGGAACCCAATGTTGTTGCAACTGTCAAAAATAATTGCAGCACCAATGGAGAAAAGCAAAAGTTCCATGTCCAGCGACGAGGGCAATTCCGATGATGATGATGATGCTGATGCAGATGCTTGGGAGTAGAACCAAATTAATTAGAATTAAATTAATTCCAGCTATATGTGTGCCTTGCTTTAAGCATTAGACAAAATTATTAAACTGTTTTGGGCAGATCGAGCATAACAACTGAGTAACTATTTTTGTAATGTAAAGTGCTGCAAAGCGCGTAAGGTTTTCAGTTTCATATTGGAAACTATCGTTAAAATTGCATGAAATTGAAGGCTATTATATATGAAAGTTGGACAAGCATTGGCAAAAGCTAGTGCTGTAAAGATATTAATTTAGTTTCTTCTTAAAGCGGATTTTATCGATAAGCTTGTATCGATAATTGAATAAGGAAAACACATTGAAACTATGTCCGGCGATTCGCGAGATATTAATGACTTGTTTGATGATATAGTGCTGACTGAGGAAAAACACGCACGTCAGGGCTACGCTGAAGGTATCAGTGACGGTCGAGCTCAGGGTAATCAGGAGGGCTACCAACTTGGCTACGCTCAAGGCGTTCAACTTGGCGAGGAACTGGGCGGCATTTACGGCCAAGTGGTGGCCCAACAGCAGTTACCACATACGGAAAAGTTGCAGCGCACGTTGCAACAGCTACGGCAGCTTATTGAAGAGTTTCCACGTCAAAACGATCCCGAGCAAGACATCATTGGCGCTGTGGAACACATTCGGAACACGCATCGGCGACTGTGCGCTTTGCTGGGCACTAAAAAGGGGACTGTTTCGGAAACTGAACGCCCAACGCAAGAGCGCAAAGATTACAGTTTCTAGAAGAACTAACAAGATGGCACATATAGGAGTGGGACAGCTACAGTGTCGACTCGATGAGTTAATAAAATACTTGACGCCGTACATGTCATTAGTTAATTGCCACATGGTTAACTACCTAACGGATGACTATTGGAATGAATTTGTGCCTCAGTCATTAAGAGCTGAGCTTCCAACAGCTGTGGACGTACAACAAGCCATAGAAATATTATTTTCGAATGACTCAACTGATTTGCAACAGTTTCCAGCACTTGCTCAATTTTTGGAAATTAGTAAGCGCCAACGCTTGTCCAGTACCACAGAGCTATTGACCAGTGTTGAGCAACTAGACCACCTGCTGAATGCTCAAATGCAAACTCAGCTTAACATTAAAGAATTTATGAGCGCTAAGAAGTGCCATGAGGTAGGTATGAAGTCATTATGAAAAGAACAGCGGCTTTAAAAACCTTACAAACATATAAACAAATCTACAGGTGGAGCTAACTGCGGCCTTGGTAAACAAGCTCGTAAAGAGTATAATAGACGAATCCAATTGCTATATTGTTGATGCTGGGGATGGCAAAGGATACCTCTCGTCGAGATTAAGTCTAGAGTATGGCCTTTCGGTTCTTGGAATAGATGCTAATGAGTCAAACACTAAAAATGCCCTTTCACGAGATAGTAAATTACAGGTATGTGCTTAAAGATAAATACACTTTATTTCATTTCATTAATTTTTTGGTCACTTAATGCTAAGTTGTACTGAGAGTTGGTTTAATCTCGCATCTCGCCCTCCTCATCGTCATCTTCCATGCCTTTGATGTAGAGTACATTGTTGCAGCGTATCAGCACTTCGCCTAGATTGCCCGTAACGGAGCCTTCGATAACTTCCTCTGTGTTTGCCAGTTGCATGTTCATGTAGCCATCGACTGAGACTAGAAATCCCTTGTATTCCTGTCCCCATTTTAGTTTAACAAGCACGGGCTTTCCGGTCAGACCATTTAGAAATGGTTTAGGATTAATGGGCATGCCAGCTGACATTTTGTTTGATTGTTTATTTTTATGCGAGTTGTGGAATGAAAATAGAAAAACGCGTATTTATTTGCCGGCTAAAACGTTTTCGCGTCGTGCATGCAGCAATAAGAAGAAGAATGACAGCTGCGAAACGGGGTGGCAGAAACATATATCGATATATCGATTCATGCATGTGAGGTATTCAGACAATCGGTAATTTACTTGCGCTAATCAACACTATTTTTGTTTCCAATTTTGAATTAGCGCGCCTGGAATGGCTTAACAGAACGCGCTGAGATTCTAAACCAAGGAAAAACACCACCAAGACGCGGTAAAAAGTCTCCCACTAAGGAAACACATATAAATACCCCCACAAATAAATATAAAACAACTTCGATTTACATAACCACCGAACTAAACTTGAGCGATTTAATTAAGGAACATTTTAAGGATGAGTTACAAGTTGTTGATCCGCGCATATGCCTTACCGGCCTTCACACCTGTGGCAATCTTGCCGCCACTTGCTTACAGGTCTTTCATGCTCAAAATAATTGCCGTGTGCTGTGTAATGTGGGTTGCTGCTATCATTTATTGAACGAGCGCTACTCGGAACAAGAATTCTTTGGGAATAAGGCATTGATGAAGCAATCAACGGATTATGGATTCCCTATGAGTCGGTATCTTCAAGAACGCAAAGTAAAACTGGGTCGAAATGCCCGTATGCTAGCCGCACAATCCATTGAGCGCACCTTGTCAGCCAAGGAGCTGCCTAACATTTCGCTCTACTATCGCGCACTACTCGAGGTTCTGGTCTGCAGCCATGCTCCCGATTTAAAGAACTCCCTGCAGGTGGGCAAAGTACAAAAATTTAATAATTTTATTGAATATGTGCAAAAGTGTTCAAAGAAGCTAAATGCTCCATGGCTGGCTGAGGTCAAAGAAGATGAACTGGAAGCCTTGCTGCAGCAGCACGAATCAGATAGACATTATCTATCGCTTTTTTATCTGCTGCGCATGTCATTTGCACCGGTGGTGGAAAGCCTAATTCTTCTCGATCGATTGCTCTACCTCAAGGAACTGGGCTACACGCACAGCTATTTAATTGATCTGTTCGATGCTGTCATATCACCACGACACTATGCAGTGGTTGCATTCAAGGAAAGCTAGATTCGACAGTGAATTTGAAATTTGCGTGTGCTAATCTAATATATATATTTATATAATAAATGTACGAGGGTAGTCTAAACAATTATGATATTTGAATATGTGCGTACAATTTGAAAAACATATTTTAAAATAAGCAAAATTGTATTTTTTTGAGAAAAAATGTGTGTCAATTAATTATTTTTATGTAAAAAGAACATTAAATACATAAATTTACATATTTGTTACAATTGTTTATTGGCGACTTTTATACGTTTATCACATTTCAGACTACACTCGTTCGCTGCATCGATTCGGGTTTTTCAACTTTTATTGCGAATTGTCTATCAGTTGTAATTAAACGCTATACAAATCTCGACATAAATTCATTTTACTAAGTGTACATATAAGTGATGATCAGTGATCTGCAAAGCGTATTGTAATTCAACTTACAATACCCTGTACTCAATCAAAAATCTTTAAAAAAAATTATATATGTATATAGCCGTATATTATATATATAATATATGAACGAGGGTAGTCTAAACAACTATGAAATTTCAATGTGTACATACAAGTTGACAATGTATATTTTTAAGTCTTCCCACTGATCCCACTGATGATGTATTATTATTTGAGAACAATTCCCGTTTACAACGTATCATCTAGTTGAGCCCCCAACTACTGATTACATTGTTTCATTATCTTCCCTGTAGTCGGTGTCTATAAAAACCTGAAGTAGACTTGAATCGATCGCAAGTGTTATTTCAGACTCGTTAATTGTCGGTACTTGTAATCGGAAGTGAATCAAATTATTTCTTAGGTAAATGAAAATCTGGAAAAGGATATACCTTGCATGTGGATTATAGAAATTTGAATAAGTGGAATTTGGATAGTTATGAATGATATTTCTAATGATTTTTATAGAATATTTATATATTTTTAATGCATTATTTTGTACAAACATAGGTTATAGAAAGTAATTGATTAATGAGAGTAATTCGTTTCATTTAAATTTCATTGTATAATCCATTATATAAAATATATACAAATTTTTGTTATGACTATCAGATTTTGAAGAGCTTTGCTTATCTTCAGTGAAGTAGTTTTTACAAAGTATCAACAAAGTACATAGAAAAATAAATAAATGCGTTTGATAAGACCGAATAATAGTAAATTAGATAAGTTTTATTTAGAATTGTTTGCTTACATGAGTTTGCTAAGATTTTTATTGCTTGTGTAAATTTCATTTTTAATTATAAAATATATATTAGATTATATATATTGGATAAGCTAAGATTGAAATCAAGTTCAATTTGTTTTGTAGACTCCTGTGAAATGGTTTTAACGGCCGCCCTGTTTGTGATTATCGGCGCGCTTAGCGCTATTTATGTGTGGTTCCAACGAAATCACAGCTATTGGCAGCGCAAGGGCATACCCTATATGCAGCCCACGCCCATCATAGGGAATACTGGGCCAGTGTTTACGCAGTCGAACTCCTTTGGCCTGCACATCTCGGCTGTGTACAGTGATCCCCGGATGGCGAATGAGGCCGCTGTTGGCATCTATGTGATCAATAAACCTGGTTTGGTCATCCGCGAACCGGAACTGATTAAATCGGTGCTAATCAAAGATTTTAATCGATTCACCAATCGCTATGGACGCACCGATCCACATTATGATGCCCTTGGCTCCAATAATCTGTTCTTTGTGCGCAATCCACAATGGAAGGAGATAAGGACGAAGCTGACGCCGGTTTTCACCAGCGGAAAGATGAAGCAGATGTATCCACTCATGCAGGAGGTGGGTTCTTCACACTATCGTTAAATAGTTTCCAATTTAAAGCTTAATTGATCCACCTTATAGATAGCCGCAGATCTAGAGTCTATGCTAGCCAAGGAGAGGCCAGCAAACGGAGACAAATACGTTACAGATATCAAGGATGTGTGCGCCAGGTTTACGACGGACTCAATAGCAACGATAGCGTATGGTGTGCGTGCGAATAGTTTGTCGAATCCGGATGCCGAGTTCCGTAGGCAAGGCCGTAAGATCTTCGCACCGACGCTGGCGCGGAGCAAGGACTTCTTTGTCGCCTTCTTTTTGCCGAAGCTGGTGTCGCTGCTGCGCATCAAGGTGTTTCCGGACGATTTTTCCAAATTCCTGCGCGATACTATTGGCCACGTCATGACGGAGCGAGAGCGAACGGCGACGGTGCGCAATGATCTGATCGATGTGCTCGTGGGCTTGCGCAAGGAGGCAGCCCTGGAGCCGGGCAAGCCGCATCTGGCCAACAACAACGACTTTTTGGTTGCTCAAGCGGGAGTATTCTTCACGGCGGGCTTCGAGACGAGCTCGTCAGCCATGTCCTTTGCCCTGCTGGAGCTGGCTAGGCAGCCGGAGTTGCAGAAGCGGCTGCGACAGGAAATCCATGAAGCCCTACTCGAGGAGAAGGATGGCAAACTGAGCTACGACAAAATCCATTCACTCGAGTACCTATCCATGGTGGTGGACGAGGTGTTGCGCATGTATCCAGTTCTGCCTTTCCTAGATCGCGAGTATCAGAGTATTAAGGGAGAAGCGGATCTTTCGCTGAAGCCCTACTACGACCACAAACTGGAGAATGGCACGCCCATTTTTATACCCGTCTATGCACTGCAGCGAGATCCTAAGGTAATGTTTAACAAATCTCGCAACAAATCCTTGCATAATCAATCATCTGTTATCTAGTACTGGACCAATCCGAATCTGTTTAATCCCGAACGCTTCTCGGCCGAGAACCGCAAATCTATTGAGCCCATGGCCTACCAGCCCTTCGGTCTGGGTCCCCACAATTGCATCGGCAGTCGAATCGGAGTGCTGCAGACCAAACTGGGTCTGGTCCACTTCTTTAAGAATCATTTTGTGCGCTCCTGCCCAGAGACCGTGAAGGAGATTGAATTCGATCCTAAGTCGTTTATTTTGCAGCTGAAGTCGGGCATGTTTCTCGAGATTGTCAACGATAGTCTATACGATGCGAATGCTCTATGATTTCTGGCTTGGGCATCCTCTCATGTAAAGCTGATTGTGCAGTTTATAGTTTTGTATTTATTTTTGTTATGGGCTTCGATTTACATTAAAAAAAAAAACGAAAACAAAACAAAGTGCTTCAAGTTGTTGTTATTTCACCTGGCGTCTGATAAGACAGTTTCGTTCTTTGTTGTAAATAAAACGATTAAATTATTATTTAAGCGCTTTGCCCCTGTCACTCGACTGACGGACGGCTGGCAGCCTAAGTCTTTAGAGATTATTCAGTTGCTTGATTAGATTTGTTGTGTTCAGATCAATTTCCATATTATTGTATTTGATGGGCATTAGAAATCGTTTAAATATCGATTTGATTTAAATTGCGTTTCTAAACTAAAATTGTTGAATTTATGCACAGTGCAGTGCAAAAAAATATATGCTTATATATAGAAAAATATATTTAAAATATTAATAAATGCATATATGTATATGTATATGTATATAATAGTAAATATTTCAATAGTAATCTTCACCTTTAATAGAAATTGTTTAAATACTATTGACCAATATAAATTAAAAATCAATATGAAATATTGATTGACTAGCTAAAATGTTATTTAAATAATTCATAATAAATATAGATTATTATCAGGCAAATTAATGTATAATTTTTAAAAATTGATTTTAAATATATATTAGTCAATAGTATTCTAATTGAATATCAACTATTATTGTTAGCACATTTAATTTAATTTTTTTTTCTTGTAAAATCCAATGAAGTTCGTTGATTCTTCAGGCAATGCATTAATCAAGATATAACTACTTTTATTTATAATTTATTATTATTATTTAAATGCATACAAAAACACAGCAACCCCATTGAAGCTCTTTAAGTAAAAGGTTATTACAATAAGAAGTAAATCTTGCCTTACTATACTTATTATTTTTTAATTAATATCGATTAATTTTCCCTTTCTTTAAGAATATATTCCAATATATAATAACGTCTCTTGAAGCTGCTAAAAATCTGATAATTACCCTCTTAAAAGGTTTATTTTTGATTATATCATAAATACGCATGATTTAATTTTTGATAGTCGAACTTAGGGGCTAATGATTTTTTTTTTTTTTTTTTTTTTTTGTTGCGCTAATAACAATTTGAGCAAAGGTCGTCCCTTATTAATTTGGAGATTTGTAGAGTGTCGCAGTAGTGCGCTTTGATTATCTGTTGCACCTCTCGCAACTTTCGCAGCGACACGCAAGTATCGGAGGCAATCAAAATGCATTTTGAAGTTCGAATGCTCGTCTTGAACAATTTAAAATGCGAAGACACGCGAAATGAAAGCTTAGTGCTACGTGAGTTGCTGACAGGTGAACTATTCGACTACTATCCAGCGAGATTCCCCCATTTCGGAAGTTCAAGTAAGTTCTATTCAAACGCCCAGGGGATCGCGCACAAGTCGCAAATTGATGCCCCCCTCGGCCTGTAGTATGATTGCCTTCGCGTCCAGTTTCATGCGACGCGGTGTTCGCTCCGATGTTGTTACCAAATGATTGCGCAACACATAGACCAAGCCCACCTTCGCCTGCAGGTAGCCATAGCGCTCACCGATGCATCCATGCGGACCCAGACCAAAGGGCATGTACGTATACGGAATGTGTTGCTTTCGGTTGCTCGAGGAGAAGCGTTCCGGCTGAAATTGCCTCGGCTGTGGGTAGTACTGCGAGGAGAGAAAGAGAAAGAGAGAGGGAGGGGAGAAGTTAGAAGGGAACTACAATTAGAGACTAAGGACTAAGCTGAGAAGAGTTACATGAAGCTAAAGCAGATCTAAAAATATCTCTTCAACTCTCTACTTATGCACCTGCAAAGCTCAGCTCACCTGTGGATCCATGTGCAAGGCGTAAGCCGGTATATAAACGGGCATGCCCTTGGGCACGCAGAACTTGTGAAAGGGCGCCAGGGAGTAGCCCTCGTCGCTGGTGCACTCGCGATCGAGAAAGGGCAGTGGAGGATACATGCGTAGCACCTCCTGCAGTATCATTTGCATGTATTCCAGGGACTCGATCAGCTGCTGGTTGACGCAGCCTCCGCTGGCAATGAGAGCCTGTTTGATCTCAGCTCTCAGGCGCTGCTGCACCTCCGGATGCTTGGCCAGCTCGTACATGGCGAAGGCCATGGTCGACGAGGAGGACTCGAAGCCGGCGGTAAAGAAGAGCACGGCCTGGGCCACCAGAATGTCGCCATCGAAGACGAATTTCGATTGCTGAGTGCTGCGCTTGAAGTCGATCAGCAGATCGATTAGATCGTTGCGGGTCTTCTGGGACTTCTCACGCTCTGCCATGACATAGCTGATGGTGTCGCGCAGGAATTTGGCGGACTCAGCGGGCACCACCTTGAAGCCGAAGTAGGGCACCAGCTGTGGCAAGAAGAAGACCAGCGTGAACTCTGCCGCACGCTTCAGGCTAAACTGAAAGACCGCCCGGCCGTGGCGACGGAACTCGCCATTCGGGTGGGTGAAACTGTTCGCCTGGATGCCGTAGGCCACCGTGGCAATTACATCCGTGGTGAAGAGAGCGCACAGCTCCTTGGCCTCCAGATCGAAGCAGCGCATCCGTTCATTGTGCAGCGGCTGCTGGCGGAGATACGCATCCAGATTGCGGCCGACCTCATCGATCAGGGGAAACATGTTCTTCAGCCGATTGCTGGTGAAGAATGGCGACAGCTTCAGGCGCACCTCCTTCCAGGCCGGATTCTTCAGAAAGAATATATTCTGCGAGCCCAACGGATCGCCTCTGTAATCCGAGTTCGAGTAGCGATTGCTGAATTTCGCAAAGTCCTTGATCATGATTCGCTTAATTAGCTCTGGGTCGCGCAAGAGCAGCGCTGGCTTATAGAACACATGAATGCCCACAAAGGGCTTATCCTGCGCATCCGGATGATTGTACATCTCGCCAATGAAATCCGCCGGACTACTGCGCATGCTCAGCAGCCCGCCCAGGTTGCCCACAAACAGCCGAGGACGCAGCTCAGGCACTCCACGTACTATCCAATAGGCATAGTGATGTCTCAGGTAGTAATATCCACAGATCAGGATGCAGAACAGCAGAAGCAGCACTGTGCCAAGCGTCATTCTCACAGCTCAAGCGATGCCCAGCCACTGTTTGCCACGACTGCCTTGCCATCGGGGTTTATCCTCAGCTCGCGCTGGAAGATTACGATCGGGGTTAAGCTAATTGCGTCACGGGTTCATTTTCTATTCTATGTTTGTTGGTTTTTGGATTTCTGAATGAAATGCGATTTTCATTGTATATGCTTCTTCTTCGCCGTCTTTTTGTTTCTTTTGTATTCTATACTTCATTGAACGGAGCTCAGGCGTATTTCTATGAGAGCTTCTTATGTAAGAGATGAGATATACATACACATTTGAGTTATGATTTCAATTAAAATTAATATATTTTATCTTCCAACTTCTATCTTTCAGTTATGTTAGCTCTTTCCTTGGCTCTGCTGCTGCTGTCTCTGGCGCTGCTCTGCACCTACTTATACCTAGAGCAGCGCTATAGCTACTTCCGTCGACATCGACTGATCCATATACCCGCCTCCAGCTGGACGCCATTTGGTCACCTGAAGCAGCTTCTGCTGCTGCGCATCTCGTTTGGTGATCTCTTCAAGGAAATCTATGCAGATGCACGCATTGAGCACGCAAAGGTTGCTGGTTTCTACGTGTTCCAGACCCCGGTTCTAATGCTACGCGATCCGGAACTAATAAGCCTGGTGCTGATCAAGGAATTTAATAGCTTCCTCAACCGGTATGAAGCCGCCGATGCTCAGCATGATCCGATGGGCGCATTGACCCTGCCCCTGGCCAAGTATCCGGTGTGGCGAGAGAGCCGGCGCTGCATGTCGCAGATGTTCAGCAGTGGCCGGATGAAGCAGCGCATGTATCCCCTGATGCAGCAGGTGCTGCTCGAGCTGGAGCAGCATCTGGATAGGCGCATGGCCGGGCGGACGGAGCAGGTGCTGCCCGTGAGCGAGATGTGCCAGCTGTACACGACCGATGTGACGGGCAGATTGTTCTACAGCTGGGATGTAGGTGGACTGCGCCATGGTGAGTCACTCCTAAGGGATCAGACCAAGCAGCTGCTCCACCCGAATCTCACCAAGGTGCTGCACTTCATGTGCATCTTCTTCTTGCCACAATGGACTTGGCTACTACGCGCCAAGGTCTTTGCCGAGGGCTATGCGCGTTTCATGCGGCAGATGGTCGAGAAGCAGCTGCGGCAGCGATGCCAAAAACGTAATCCTCTAGCGGATGTTGATCTGCTTGGTCTGCTGGAGCCACTGCAGCGTACGCAGCATTCGGATTTCACAGCCTCCCAGGCGGGCATCATTCTTCTGGCTGGCTTTGAGACTTCATCCGCCCTGCTGAGCTTCACATTGTACGAGCTGGCCAAGCAGCCGGCGTTGCAGCGACGTTTGAAGCGGGAACTGGCCACAGCCTTTGGCCAGGATGCGCAGCTCAGCTATGAGACAGCTTCCACCTTGCCGTACTTAAAAATGGTTTGTCTGGAGGCTTTGCGCCTCTATCCCGCAGCTGCATTCATCAATCGTGAATGCACACGATCCGAGGGCTTCGCACTGCAACCACACGTGGACTACGTGATACCGCCTGGTATGCCCGCCTATATATCCATATTGGGCATACAGCGTGATGCCAAGGTGAGAGTTGAAAATATTCAGTGCTAAAAGCATCTACTACTCTAATTAAGATAGCCCAGGAAAAAAGCCAAAAAAGTCCATTCCCTCTAGTGTAGTCAATATACTATATTAAATATATTAATTAAAAGCATGTTTAGCATATTAGTCTATTTAATAATAAGCAAACAGAGCATATTTGCGTATTACTTCAATTGAAATATGAATTCCAATAAGAATAACATAGATCCAACTATTCGCTAACAGGCTGCAATCTAATAAGAGCCGCTAGCATATTCATGCCTTCTCTAATTAGAATGTTGATTAGGTTTGTGTCTTTGCTTTTATGCGTATGCAATCGCAGCATGTTATTGTATTTGAGAAGGCTTTAACAACAATTTCTTTACTGAAATCCTTACAAACTCTGCATTTCTATTTCCATTGAATTCCAGTACTGGCCCAATCCATTGCACTTTGATCCGGAGCGTTTTGCGCCGTCACGCCTAAAAGATATAATACCCATGACTTATATACCCTTTGGTGCTGGACCGCATGGTTGCATCGGCAGTCGACTGGGTTTGCTGCAGCTGAAACTGGGCGTGGCACACATACTGCGCAGGCATCGAGTGGAAGTATGCGATAGAACTGTCAACCAAATACGCTTCAATCCAAAGACCTTCATGCTGGAGTCATTGGATGAGTTATATTTACGTTTCTGCCTAGATCCTATGTAGTTAACGCCAATATATTTAAATATCTATAAATATAGGCTGTGAAATACCATTATTAAACTACCTGTCTAAGTACTATAACAATTATTTTTTCATCTGTCAAGACAGCTCAAAGGGCTTTGTAGTCAAGTCAAAAATGGAAATTGTTATACAAAGTGATTTCACAGACACGCAAGGGCTAGTAGGATACATAAATATATATCTCATATATATAAATAGTTATATACTCTTGGTATTGCATGTTATTGAATGTTTTTGTGACAGTTGATGAACCAAAGAATTTTAATTGATCCACGTTTTAGCGAGAGAAACTGTAAACAAAACCTTTACAATTCAAACAAATCAGTCATCAAGCCAAAAATTATGTGAAATAGATTTTTCATTACATAAATATAGTTCAATTTATTTTGCTCTTTCCAAAAGTGCTCTTAGCTTGCATATTTAAGTGTCTATAGATAATCGTATATTCCATGGAGGTTCACATGCCGTAGTATATTACTTTTAGTTGGGATGCTGTTCGAGTCGTGCCAGCTTCTCCTCAATGTCCTTGATGCGACAGCGCACCTCGGGTGCTGAGTCGCGTTGAAATTTGCTCAGATTTGCTTCGAAATTTTGCTTGAGCAGCGCCAACGTAGACTGATCCCTGGTCAGGCTGAGACGCTTGATCAGCATCAGAACGATGTTGAGTGCCTCCTTTTTGAGTCCTGTATGGGGTACGCCGGCGGCTAGAGTGACGGCGGCCAGGACATCACTGCAGATCTTCTGCACGATGGCCTCGCGTGTCTGCAATGGTGGAGCCTCCGTCTTCGGCTTCTTTTCCAGATTGTTACGCTCGAGCGCTATGTCGGGTAGCTGGGCTGTCTCATCGAAGATGTACAAGCGCTCCACGTACTTGGTTAGCGCAGCCAGCAGGCTCACCTGTACAGGCCGTGTGCTCTCGCTCAAAATGCTGGTACAGTTCTCGGCGAAGAAGAGTTGATATCTGTGCTGGGTTTCAATTGCGTGCTTGGGCCATGCCTTGCCGAGGGTCTCCCAAACAACCTCCTTCAATTTGTTAAGCGTTTGGGCGCGTTTGTTGCGCTCATCCGCTGTTAAGTCCTTGCGAGCAATGCCACTACAGCCAGCCTCGTCATCGTCATCTGAGTCAACAGCGCGCAGCTCCTTCTTCTCCAGCAAATACCAGATCATGTTGCACACCTCCTCAAAGCGATCTGCCTCCAGCACATCCAATATGTCGCCGAGCGCACCTAATGCCATAGTACGATAGACTGGCTCCTGTTTGCGCGCCTCACGCATTGCTGCATCTATGATGCTCGGACAGATCTCGTGCTGGCGATCGAGGTGTTTGCATAATGCAGCCAGCGCCTGCAATAGACGCTCCTTGCCCTCGAAGGTGCGTCCCTGCAGTCCGCTAAGCAGCAGCTTGATGAGCCGCACTCGATCCGCTGTCTCCAGAGAGCTGCCGAGCCGCACTGCTATATTCTGGATGACATTGGCTGCCTGCGCCTTTCGCGACCAGCTCGCATCGGTTAGCGACGACTCCAACTTGGGCAGGATGACATGCAAATTGACTCGAATGCCCGCATCTCCTGGACTAATGTCCATCCACAGATCCTTCCACAGCTCAATGTTCGCTTTGTTCTCCTCGTTCTGCTCCTCGTGCATGGCAAAGAAGATCAACGGGAGCAAGCAGTCCATGTAGTCCTTGAGCAGTTCATGGTGTCGCTTATTAATCGATTGTATGGTCAATGCAATGGAACGATTGTTTGGCTGCTCCATATACAGCTCGTCCAGTTTGGCAAAAAGATTCTTAATCGATTGTTCCTGCAAGAGAGAGATTTTAAGAGGAGCAAGGACTAAGCTGAGTAGCAATCTTACCTTGGCCAGTCCCATGAGATGTCCAATGGCACTCGCATTATATTTGCGCACCGTAGCATTGCGATCCTTGATACCGCCAAAGCAGGCACCCAAATATTTGCCCACCAGGGGCGTCATTTCCTTGCCTAGACGTATGCTGATCTGTGAGGAAGGAAAATCAATAGGAGAATGAGTTTTTGTGTACCAAAAGGATTAAGAAAAATGATATGAGAGGGACAACAGAGATATAATCTCAGATGTAGGCTCTTCACTCACCAGGCAAACAAAGTGGGCGCAACCAATTTTAGTGCCCAGATTCACGCTGGTCTTCATCAGCTCGAGGAGCTCCGGGGTCATGCGCTCTAGCACGGGGTAATCAATGAAGCGCACACACTTGTTGATCGTCTCCATGGTGTGATGCGACTTGGCTGCCTCAGCGCGCAGACTGTCGACAGCTTCCTGTGCCTCATTGTCGGCGCCCAGACGTGTCGACACATACGAGAGCTTGGTGTTTTCCAGCTCTCCTGTAGCGCGCAGCATACAGGGTATGAGAGTGGCAAGATGCGGTGCAATCAAAGCACCTGACGAGTCAATCATTTCCGATATAGTCTTAATGCTGACCTTGCGTATTTCTGCAACCTTGTGACCCACGCCCGTCTCTAGTAGATAGGGTAGAATTGAGGCAGCGACGGCAGTGCCGGATTTTCCATGCTCCGAGGAGGCGGCTAGCACGCATAGCTTACTCAGAAATGTGGCTGTGCCTTGGGCAGTCATACGTGTGCCCTCGTGTATGTCATCCATGACGCGGAATAGCTGATACCAAAGCTCGCGCAGCTCCGGCTCTGGCAGCTCGTCCACATCCATGGTATCAGGCGTTACCCGACGAACCGTCCCAGTGGTCGATGTCAGGTGCTTCTCCTCGGAGCGCAAGCGTAAACCATTTGAGCGCTTAAGCAAATCCCGCACAGCCAAGCAGCAGGCAATGCGCACACGCCATTCCGTGCTGGTCAAATTGTCGAGGAGTTCGCGCAGAATCTCCCAATAATATTGCTCGGTTACTTCCTTCGAGTCGGTGACAATGGTGTCCCATATGGATATCATAGAGTTCTGGATTTTGGGTGTCGGATCGTACTTATAACGATAGAGACGTGGTATTATCTTGCCCAGATAGGGTTGCATCTTCTGTCGCGACTCCGCAGAGAGCGTCTTCAAACCAAACGCCGCACCCAGCTTGCTGGTCCAAGTGGCATTATGATTGGCCAGCTGCATAAACTGATAGATCATATCGGGCTGATTGAGATCGGAGGCAAGGGAGCAGAGTTCCTTGTAGGTGGTGATATTACCGCCTGTTGGCGTCTTGCCCAGCATGCCCTCGGCAAAGAGTTCGGTATCGCCAGTCACCTGATTCACCTGCCTCTTGCCGCCAATCAACTGATCGAGCAAAGAATTAGCCAAATCCGTTTGACTATTCGAATCGGAGAGGGTGTAAACCAAGCCCAAGCCACGTGAAGCAACATCTTGCACGAATTCTGTAAATAAAGGACAATTGTTATACACAAATAATTTAAATATAATCCTAGCTGTACGCACCACTATCGTCCGACAGCAACTCCGTAAAGGCGAACTGCAGCAGTTGCTTTTTGTTGAGCACTGCGGGTCGCTTACTGCAATGCTTGACCACAGCGAGCAGCCAAACTGAGATGGCCTGTCGCGATTGAGGATTGGGTTCGCTAACCAATCGTATTAAGGCAATCAAGAACTGCTCGAAATCTGCATCGCTGCAATGCACATTCACAAACGTCTCCGTGGGCGGACCCTTGTTTACATCGTAGCCACACAATGTGCTGACAATTGCCTCCGAGATGGCAATATTCAATGCTGCATCCTTTTGCACCTTGGTCAGCGTTAGGAACTTTTCCAGATTGCGTTTAGTAAAGTGGGCGCCATCTCCAATTGCCAAATAGCCCAAGCACTTGGCTGCCTCTTCGCGAATCCTTTGCCGAACGGAGGTGCTGCGCAGCAGTTGGAAAACAACGCTGAATATGATCATTTTCGTGGAAATCTGAATGCTCTCTGTTTCGGCCATTTCTGCATCATCGTCGTCATCGTTGTTGCTAGTGGCGCATTGAATTTCCACTGGCACATTGGGTATCTCAACCACTTTGCCAATCATCGAGGTGCATTTAACAGCTGCTGAGATGAGCAGCCACTGCGACTCGGTTAGCATTTTCGCTGTGAATGAAAAACAAGTGTTATGTGTCGTATTACCTTACGTCGTCCATCAAGACTTACCAATAATTTTTACTGCATTTACAAACTCCGTCCAATTGGCATAATCCTTGCTTACATTTTGCTCCCGCAATTGGTCAATTTTGCGATTGAAACTGTGACCCAACACCAAAAGCCAGCCATGCTTATGCTCAAGTGATTTCTGCGATAAGGTGTTTAGACAATCGCCGATCTCCTGATCAAATTTATCATTTGGTAGCCCGTAGGCCCAGAGTATGCCATAGACCTGGGCGACATTAAGACGCATTACTTCGGAAACATCTTTCAGCGAGTTGCTCAACGGCTCCAGTAGATGCAATTGCTTGGGCGCAAATATCTCGGGTGCCGCATTCAATAGATCATAGAGACATAGTAGCGTTGAATCAGCTAAAAGAGAAAGAAAGAGTTGTTTCTCTCATAATATTGAGGATTACGATTATAAATACTTCGCTTAGCCTCCACGCCGCGCTGCACAAAGAGTAAATATTGTTGCAGTGCATTAGACTCCTCCTCGTCGTAGTTGGTGATTATATATTTGCGCAGCTCATGAGTATATTTCTCATCGCCCGGTGCGGCGACGATGCCCGCCGAATACCAGAGACAGAGACGCAGATAGTCGAGTATCTCCTCGTAGACATCCAGACTATAGGGCAGCTTGGTCCGTCCAATAACCACACAGCAGCTGCTCTTCTTCAGTCGCTTGTTGGCCATCTCATGGACATGGGCCATCATTGCATGAAAACTGGGCAGCAAGACGCGTCGTTGTTCGAGTGATAAATGATTAAAGTCGCTAATCGATTCGCTAGTATGTTTGCCTGTGTGCTCAATGGATGAGAGCATGCTATAGTTGACATGATCCTTCTTCGAAGTTCCATACAAATAGGTAGTCACATTCTCTCTCAAGGAGTTGCTATTTATAGAAAGATTGAAATGGATTAGATACGTATATACAGATTATAGGTATATTAGCGAAAACTCACCGTTCGCCTGCAATGAGCAGCAGCAAATAACGTGCCGGTGCATAGAACTCTGGATAGCAGCTGGTGAGGAAGACGCTCGTTACGTTCTGGACAATTTGTATCTTGGACTCGGCATTGTCGAGTAGCATGGCCAGTAACAGATGCTGTTGTCCATCCAACTGCACCTCCGATGGATCGCCTTGCTGGTCCACATCCATGGCATCTGATTTGGTCTTCGTTTGCCAGGCAAATGCTGGCGCCATGGAGACCAAGGCCTCGCGTATTGAGCTATGCAAGTCGGGTGCACAAGTCGCTAGATTATTAAAGTAGGCCAGCACTAGCTTCAAATCCTGGCTAACATCCTCTGGAAAGCTGCGCGCGTGTTGAGCTAAGGCGGAATACGCTGCATTTTGTACATCGTTCGGCTCTACAGAGTCGCGTCCAATGACTTTTGTGATGCCAGTTAGCAGAACTTTGGATACCTTAGAGACGACATCTTGTGGACCGCTATCGAAGTGGAGGAAGAAAACACATTAGTAAGGGTATATTCAGTATGCGATTCAGTATACAATGCCAACTTACTCCCGTAGCACCAACTCCACGAATTGCAGTGCTAGGACCTTACACTTCTGATTGGTATTGTTGCCAAAGAGTCCATCGAAGATCACTTGGAGACCCTTGCCTACAAAGATACCCTTGCCTCGACACTTAACCAAATACTGCAACAGCTTTTGACGCACTCGAGCGCAACAGGGACGCGTTTGCCGCTCCGTCAACTGATGCTGATTGCCAATGAAGAGCGTGTAGAGAGGAGATGTCACAGCTGGGTTACTAAAATCCAGCATGGTGCACAATTTACTCAACTCAGCAATGGCAGGCGTGGCCACGCTGAAACGCGTATCAGCTGAAGCAACCACAAGTAGAGCAAATATATCATTATCAGCGAAAACTCCCCCGCACAAAAAGCGCACGATGCCCTTCTTGATCTTCTCCAGCTCCTCGGCTCGCCAATTGTTAGCAATGATACGCTTAAAGCTATAAGGACTTAGTCCAGGTGGCACATCCTGATCCTGTGTGACGCCATAGGGCAGCAGAAGCACATCCTGCAGTAAAGCTAAGAAACTGGCAGAAATTGCCGGCTTCTCTTTTAGCTTAAACAAATCTCCACGTTGTGCCGGATCATCGGGTATTTTCATTTCACTCAAAATGGGCAGTAGAAGCATGAATAGCTTATCCTGATAGTTCTCCAGTTTGCTTTCGCAACCCAACACCTTGGCCGCCAGTTTTGTCTGCTCCTCCAAAGGCAGGCGAGGGAAACCCATACTAATGAAAATGATGGCAAAGTTCTTAAGGAATGTGGTGCTCTCTGATCCTCCATATTGATCGAGGAGTGCTTCCACTGGTATCTGCACCTGGCCTCGTGATGTTAGACGTCGCTTTATATGTGTCAGCACCTCGACCACCTAGTTGATATACATCAAGTTACAGTAAATTTTTGCCAAGTCATTCAGGGATTCGTTTTACCTTAGAGCGTACTACACTGTGCGGCGAATTGATTTTGATGATGACGGGCGTCAGAAATTTACCCACTGTCGTTTCTAGCTTCGCATCGCTGTCCGCATTGCCCAGACGCAATAAAACGCGTTCGAGTAGTTCTGCACAAAGAATGCAAAAATTTTTAAGACAGTTTTTAGCTGCTGATTACTTCTAACAAAAGCCGTCTAAGTTAATTATTAACTATACAGAGACACTTTTCATCAGCTTAATATAGGCTGTAGTGTCCAATTAGACAAAAATATGTAGTAGTTTTACCAATTTCTGCACTTGGCCCCGCTGTTTCCATGTTGCTTATTTTTCTGGTCAATTTTTTTGTTTAGCGTCTGAGTGAGTGTTGCCAGTGCATCCTAGACAGCTGCTTATGCACGACGTTGCCAGACTATTGAATAGCAAGTCATTCTGTTCTGCTTCTGTCTCTGTAAATAGGCGCGCTGCTTGAATTGTGGGGCACTCCAAATAGCGAACGGCAGATTATTTTCTAAACTTGTTAACCAAGCGCGTAGTTTGAAATCTAAACATAGTTGATAAATTTATAATGCTAAGAATTACCCAGTACCCAGTACATGATGCGTATTTAAATAAAATATATTTTGTTTAATTACGTGGCCTTTATTGAAATTCAATTAAAACACATTTGTATTTTTTTTTTTTAAGAAAATATCCTCTTGGAAGTCACCAACGAAAACCTGAAAAATAACAGATTCAAACTTTAGTATAACATATGAGTAACAAATAGCTAAATATTATTGAATAATTTTCAGTATTTTTACATTTAGTAAAAAGAGTCAAGTTTCTTCAGCAATTTGTTTTATGAAGACCGTCATGATTTTATCATCAGAGAATAAAAAAGAAATATACATTTTTCAAAAGATTTACTTAATACACACCTTTTAAAGAAAATGTTGGTCTCGCCTCCTGAAAATTCTGAAAGAATAGAACTACAAAGTTACAGAATTAAATTTACAGTTTTTTTTTTGTTTTATTCAAAAAGAATAGTGCTACAAATATTATTTTCTTCCATAGCGGTTGTCCTCACTTAAAACTTCTTGAAGCTCTTCTTGGCGCCCTGACCCTTGCTGACTTTCAATACGTTGAAGCGCACGGTCTTTGAGAGAGGACGGCACTCGCCAATTGTGACGATATCGCCATGCTCCACATCTCTGCAAGAACAGAAAAAAATATTAATAAATAACAAATGAAGTAGAAGGCAGTAAGTTACAGATACAATTAGTTGTCAGTTTTTTACGTTTAGTAAAAAGAGTCAAGTTTCTTCAGCAATTTGTTTTATGAAGACCGTCATGATTTTATCATCATAGTAGAAGTAATATGTAGTTATGTCAATGGGGTAGAGTATATATACCTGAAGGCGGGCGAGCAGTGGACGCTCATGTTGCGATGACGTTTCTCAAAACGACTGTATTTACGCACAAAGTGCAGATAATCGCGACGAATAACAATAGTACGTTGCATTTTAGTTTTGCGCACAACACCGGTAAGAATGCGGCCACGGATTCTCACATCACCGGTCCAGGGGCACTTTTTGTCAATGTAGGTGCCATCGATGGCCTGTGGGAAGAAACAAAATTGATTAGATGAACAAATTTTTTTCTTTTAAGAGTGGGCATTTCTTTTGTTTGACATGCATTACCTCACGGGGGGTTTTGAAACCGAGACCAACATCACGGTAGCGGCGGAGCACCTTCTTTTTGGTGATGCCGGGCTTCACCTTACGGTTTAGGTTAACACCGAACTGCTTTTGGAAGGCGCGCTCGTTCTGTTTAGCATGGCATACAAGTTACATTGGTTGCGGGGTACACAAACGTGCAGGTAGGGCATGGAACGGAAGAAAAACGAGGGGGGCGCAACATTAGTTAAATTTGCTTTGAAACTCTTACCTCGGGTGGAACTTTGAAGCCCAGCCCAACTTGACGATAGAAACGAGGACGTTTCTTGCCATTGACACTCTTACGTCGTATTGTCGGCACTGAGTGTTGCTTGCGAAATGCGCGTTCTGTTTGCTACAAAAATAATAGTCAAATTCCAAGTGTATTTAGCAGCGTAAACAGCATGCGTAGAAGTGTGGTTAGGTTGAATGTGAGCCTCACTCGCTGTTGCTTCTCCTTTTTGGAAAACAACACATTCAATGGTATACAGTAAATGTATTGCTCAACTCACAATGCACCATATTTCACATTTCACATTAAATTTGTTTTATAGCAATGCTATAACTGACGTATTTTATTTAATTTCGAACACATTTTTGCTGCCTTACCTGATCAGCCATGTTGGAGCAAGAGGAAAGAAAGAGCACGCGTCAAAATAGAGATGGGCGATATTTCGAAAGCGAATACATATCGCAATGCTACTGTAACGAGATGAATGTTTGTGCTATGAAAAGTGAAATTTGAAACGAGAATTTGTTTTACAAAAATATTTATTCAATCTAAGAAATAAGTAAAGTTGAGTTATTTAATACCTTTAATGGTTTGTTGTTTATTATTGTGTATTGATTCCAGCTGGCATTCTAATAAGTCACTGTGACTTTTAATGTCACGACATCGCTTTTCAGACTATCGAGTGTGCAAAATGGTTGTATATCGATATGAATATTCCCATATTTTCTTGAGCTTAAATTTTAGTAAATAAAAAAACGTATATGATACCCAGGGCTGCATTTAGAATAGGCGCGCCTTTCAAAATATTATTGAAAACTGTTACGACAATATATATGGACACTACTTTGATTTCACTGCGCTTTAGAAACCTTTAAGTGAAATGTTTGCTGTTGCTGCCGCAACATTTGCGAAGCTATTGACCTTCTGCTAACGTCGACATTGACTTTGATTTTCGCACATAGCTAAGATTTTAAGACACAGTCGCGCCACATGCATTGAAAGCACTTTTAAACCACTTGAGTGGCTTTCACAGAAAAGAAAAAATCTTTTGTGCGTTCACTTTGCAGCTTGTTGTTTGCTCTCCACACAAGCATTCACATATGTATGTATATGTTTATGTGCGTGGGTGTGTGTGTGTGAACAAGTAAAATTAAAAATTGCGTCAGCATTAATTCTTGTCATATGCCGGATTAAATATAATGACAACATAAACAAGTGCTAGTAGAGTAAAGCAGGGGATTGCCTTGAAACGATGTCCTGTGTGCAAAAGGCTTCAAGGCGAACACAGATGCGCTGCCATTGCTATAAATCCGTTTACGGCTAAACGTCACGGATGAAGGCCAGCCAGCATACCAGCCTTTCCTGTCTTGCCTTGCGTTGCCTATCTACCTTCCAACGTGCCTTCCTGTCGACCTTCCAGCCTGCCTGCCTTCCAGCCTTCCTGCATGCCTGCCTGCCTGCATTTCATTGCCATTGTTAGTGCGAATGTCTGCAGCATAACATTATGGGCAGTGAGCCAGGCTCGACCTTAACCCGCAACAAATTGCTGGAATGGGGCGTTGGGCGTGGCATGAGTTGCTGTCAAGGTTTTTATTTTTGCAAGCGACCTTACTCGTTGGCAAGGTAAATTTCGCTGCATTGCAAAAGGCAATGAAATCCCTTTACATATTTTTTTTTTTGTTATTACTTTTCCATCATGTTTCTCATATCTGACTGCAGGTAAAACTAACACACATGATTAAATTTGAATAACCAACGCAAAGCTCTGCATTTTTTTCAATAATATAAAATAAAGCTCTCAACTTTTTCACTTATTATATATTTTTTTTATGTTAATCGTTATTGTTGTTGTTCGTATTGGACTTTGTAGTAAATGAAAAAAGTTTAATGGGCGAAAGTTTGTGAATCATGGCAAATGAAAATTGTACAAAATGCGTACGAGATTTAAATTCAATCTGGACCGACGTGACGTGGGGCAGACGTGTTTTAAGAACCAGCTGCTGGTGCTACTATGCCCGCTCATGCAGGGAAATAAATATATTTCTATTTCTCTCCTAAACGATGAAGTTAGAGAGTTAAGGAATTTGTAACAAAAATAAATACCCTTGTGTATACCATCGAGGGTATAAGCTCAATGCTCTGTATACCATTTGAGAACATGTTTGAAATATATTACATTTACCAACGTTCGGTGTCTATATTATTTTATAATGTCTATATATATATATATATATATATATATATATATATATATATATATATATATATATATATATATATATATATTGTTGTTGTATATATCTGGTATGCTAAATCCGTTAAAAATTATAAGGTATCTGTTAATCGACTTATGTAGGCCCTTTTACATGTTCTTATTTTTTTAGACACTTCAAAGTAAATTAAGAAAATAATTTCCATGCCTCATGGAGACAATGTCAAAAACAAAAACAAGAAAGAATTTTGCAGTCGGGTTTGACTGACTGGTTAATACTCGGGCGGAACAAAATTAAGATGACTTTATAGAGATGTGTGAATTCACAAGGTAAACTGTGATCGATGTGCAAAACTTTTGTTAAGGGAAGACTTAAAATTGTAAAATATATTCATATAGCCGCTCGCCTATCTGATCTACTCCCTTAACTCTGTATGAAAAGGAGAATGATAACGGCATTAAGTGTGCAGCTTAACGGTACATTAGGTAAACAGTGTTGTCAACATTCCACTCAGCTCTCTCTCTCGTTTTCTGTCTTCCTCTCTGTCTTTCGCAAAACTTAAAATGGCGCCCAGCCAATGACCCTGTCAAGGATGTGGGTGTTCAGTGGTTAGCCACGCCCACACAGCTCAGTCCCAATCCCTTTCCCATTCCCATTGCCACTCCGTCCGCTTCTGGGGATCTGCTGGTTTTCCGTTGTCTAAGTGTGCGTGCATTTGAAAAGTGACCGAGATAATTTTTGGCATGCTTTGTTTGCGTTTACTTTTGCTGCTTCACAAAAAAGAGGCCGCCCACCCACAGCTCCCCTTGCCATAAAATTTTGATGAGCAGCTGCTGTATTTTGGGTTGTGGTTCGGCCCGGGGTTTGGGCTCGGGTTCTGGAACATCAGGCAACAAATAAATTGGTGCGAATACAGGCGGGAGGCCTCTACCTTTATCAGAGATACAAACAACAGAAAATTGTGCTTGAATGCGATGCGGTAGTGCCTGACTTGGAGATACCCCATACGAAAGTAATTTTATTACATATCTGAACAGAAGTTTAGTAAGGTTTAAAATAAATATTATGTATGTGCAAAAAGCTTGGGATGCTTCGGATATAATAGGCGGATATTTCTCAAATGCACATCTCTAGATTACATATAGATATATAGATATCAACTCGTCTCCTGATTCTGATTTTTCTTCTGCAGGTCACATGAAACCCAATATACCCTGTTCGCCCAACACAAAAACAACGAAATTATTTAGCAGCTACTTTTGGGACAATGCCGAGAACCCCTTTGGCCCGAACCAGTTTCGCTCATGCCCAACCTGCAGCCCTTTTGTAAAGGGTTTGCTGCTGTAATTATGCTAATTTCTGTTTAACATTCTTCTTAATACAAATAAATACCAGACCAGGCACAGAGAGAGAAAAAAAATCAACCACAAAAATCCCAATTCCCAATGCAAGCATCTATCGTCTTTTGACTGAATTGGCTCTGACGTTTAAAGCTTAACGGAAATTGCTTAAAAACGTCTTTCGGCACAATTTCCGGTTAAAGCTGACAACAGCTGCGGTAGCTAAAGCAAATAACGTTTCTTATTTACATAAGTAAATGGATTTCGAATTTTACTAATGAAAAACAAGAAAAGAACATTTTTCCAGGAATTGAAAATGTCTTAAATACCCTAGCTAAGCAGGATGATGGTGTGTTTCTATCTAATATTATTATTAACTGAAGCTGAATATTGGAAGAGAAATATAACTATTCGAATTTCGATGGATGTAGACATGCTTGAACTGATTATAGAAAAAATGAAGATTTATACTGACTATATATTAAAATGCTTCACTTCTCACCATTTAATTACCATAATAAATATCTTTAAATTAGAAAAAAAGAGACTGCCTTATTATGCCGCTTAGCCAAGTTTTTAGCCAATTACTAAATACGTTTTTAGCATTAGGAACTTTGTGTCTTAAGTACATTTTGGCACTTGATAAACGCCAAATGTTTACCGAGGCGAGCCTTTTCATCAATCAACTGGCTAATGAAGCCTGCCTGCAGAGCAAACAAGCAGCTAATTGAAAACTTTTACTCCTCAACTAGCTGTAACACCTACTACAAATCCGGCGACCCAAAACACCTGCTCAGGTCCCACAGGCTCTCGCCCACTACCTATGCACGGACAGCTAACGGGCAGCTTTGTTGCTGCTTCTTCTTCTAGCGCCCGACAAATAAGACTTTTTTTTATTTTGGCGAGAAACATGGCGCACATGGACCTTATATATTGAGCATGCTGTCTGAACTTAAGTTTCCGGTTGTGTTTTACTTCTTTTGCTTCTGTTTGCGCACGGCTTCCGTTTCCGCTCCAGACTCGACTCAGGTCGCAGCAGCTGGTCAGTGCACTTCTTAGAGTTGTGAGCGTATCGTGTTTTTCTGCGAAACTTTGTGATGAAGCTAAAACATATAGTCTAAATTTAACAAAATTTAAAAATATAATAATGGTTGCTTTTATTAATGTATTATATTTGGTTAATATAATGATCGAAGACCTTTAATTTGATATTCATGTGTCAAATTGTAACTGGTTTATTTCTTATTGGCAATAGAGTTCATAGATTATCGAAAATTCGTACCGATATTTTGTCATTATTAATCCTTTTTTTCGGTGCAGCTTTACGAAAAGTTGTTGTTGCTTTTATTAAAAATACTGCAAGTTTCGTTCATTTCTGTCACATTCTCCTTTTAATATGTTATCGAATCCTCGTGCATCACTATATCGATATTTATTCCAAGCTTCGTTTCGTCCATCTCCAAGCTCTTGGTCTATGTTCGTTTACTTTCTCGCTTACTCTTGCCGTCGGCCTGCCAGCTTCACTTGACGCATTGCCGAAAAATTTATTGGTTCGCGCCGGTGGCGAACCCAGAAGCAATCTCACATTAATTTCTTAAATTGAAGCCTCGGCCAGCAGCAGACACAGCTTGCATATATTTGCACACACATGCATGCATATATATGTATTGTTTCTATCCTTTGTCTGTTGCTGAAAATCGATTCGAATTACTTGCCAACAGTTGCTGGCGTCGCCGATCTGAGCATAATTAAATATGTCTACCGTACGGATAGATGTATATGTATGTGCGTCTTTCCATTTTCTTCGCTGCTAATTAAGGCCGGCACTGTTTGCCAGGTGTTTTGTCTTGCTTA